CATACCCCAATACTGCATACCCCAATTTCAGGTGATAATGAGGAGGCCCACTGCTCACCTGCTGACAGTTCCACAAACTTGTCCGTTTTGGGGCCGAAAACTCTTCCATTTTGGTGCTTGTCATACTAGTAGAAACCGCTCTCGCTATAGCAGCATCATACGGGCGTTCCATGTCAACATCTTGGCTGCTGGAAACGACATCAACCAAACATTACACCTACCCACTCGATGACTCAATATAGTAATACAGCTTAATTGTCCATGCGTTCGCAGCCACAATCTCAGGGGAGTAGCTATTGAAGACCTCGAGTGAGATTAGAGCCACTCACAGTATTGAACTCTTTGGGCCGTTTTGAGCCACACTTTACTAGACATCAAGATTGACGATCAAAGCTACCCCCAGATTCCTGGTTCAAGCTTTGGTGTCCTTTCAGTCACTGGTTTTGCAGGTATAATAGTTTGCAATTTGTTTAAGTGGTCCCCAAGTAGATAGAAACGGTGGTTTCCAATAAATGTGTGTGGGGGATCTACTTTTCTATCTATTATTTGGGGGTCTATATATTGCATTGTTCAGTCTTTCTTTAGCTTATCAGCTTCACAAATCCTTTCAATCTGAATGTGATGGGAGAAGACATGACGGCCTGGCTATCCACTCGACACTGGCCTGGTTACTGTGGTTTTGCAGATCTCTTTGGTACCAAAGTAAGAGCTGCTTCAGCTTCTCCAACCTGAAAGCTGAGACTCAGCTTCTCGATGGTCAGGATCGAATGCCAATTGGGTCAGCTGTTGGGTCAGCTGGATGTCATGCCTGAATCGTCAGCTGTTGTTGGTATCCCGCCGTACGAAACACGGCGAGGAATCTAGGAAGACTCAGGTACAACCACTCACATTCCCTGACATCCAGAGAGAACCTTTCAATGTGTTTTGGAGTGTGTTTTTGGCAAAGCACTGACTGCCCAGATGCTAATCATAATTGACTGAACAAGTGAACAAGAGACCTGCACCACATGTAGGAGTGGCAAAACGATTTACATGTGCCCCAGAATTGGGTCAAACCTTAAGACAATATTATACAGGACACCCGTAGTTTTGTGGGGGTGAAACCATGGTGTTCCTACAAACCAAATCTGGGAATGTGGGGAGAGAACATCACGCGCAATTGGGAGGGACTGTCTTCCAGCTGACAGGTGTCGTGTTTGGCGTAGTCGTGTCCAGGAATTTTCCACCTTATGTCTTTGTGTGATTCCAACCAATGCTTACTCAGCAACTCGTAGACGAAGGAGTTTCCAAAGCTAAGAGGTCCCCCGATAAATACAGGATGTCCATGTGAAATCACAAGGTTTTCTGAGTTCGATCGGCTGGAATATCCACATAATATGCACATGCATATACATGAGTTCCTTTATATAAATGAATAAATGGTTGTATTATATAACGAGACGACCGATCGAACCGACCTAAACCACGGAAAGACCAAGAATTGACGAATTGACGACGACCAGCACATCAAACACCTCTTCACGATGTGCACCGCGCTGGTTCTGGATTTAGACACCTCTTTGTATCCACTTACTATGGAGAAGAGATGTCTAAATGTAAAGATGAGTTCAGTCTCTGGATTTATCCAGTATAATTATATCAACATATATCCATTGACTTAGAATGGCCAAGATATTATGGTCTACTACCTTCTCATATAGAAAGTCCACATATATCAACCGTTACACCGAGACCGGGCTGTTCACGGCCCACGGTTCAGGTCCACCAGCTACGGCGCCATCCAGATCACGCCGCCGCGGACCGCGAGGGGACTGGTGGTGCCCTATGTGCAACCGACGCGACAGGTGGGACGGGCGACCGCGGGTCCTGACAGCCGACTCCGGGTGTAGAAGAAAGACTCCCAAAGGTGGAAGATGAAGCAACTGTACAGAACTTTGAAAGACAAGAAACTGAAACTTACGAATCAAGAAGCTGAAGCACAGATGGTCTGGTGGATTTCTGGCCAATCCGCGTTCTCGCGAGTGATGGACCTCAAGCCTCAATGTCCTGGGCCCTTCACAGGCGCATGCAAGGGCATCGCTACTACTAGTAGCAAGGACGCTACTAGTAGCCTCAGGGCATTATAGTACTACAGTAGTAGCAAGAAGCTACGAACGGAGAACGGAGCCATGCTCTCATTGCTCTCGCCACAGGCACCCATGCCCACGCCGCCCATGCCACCGCCTGTGCCCGGTGCCCACGCGCCGAAGGCGCCGACGTCGCGGCTGAGCGCCGCGGAGGCCGAGGTCGCGGCGAGGGCGTTGCTCAGCACGGAGGGAATGAAGAAGGCGGAGGCCAGCGGAGCCATGGCAAGATTGGTCATTTGTTTTGATGGAAAGAACAACATACAAAAACGAGGCCAGCGGATCCCATTTCATGAGTTCATGAGTTCGGTTTTTCCCATTGTTTCAGGACGAAGGTAGGATTTGATTGGATGGATATTCTCCCGGTTTTGCTTAGGAGGATTTTCAATGTTCCTTTGTTTATTATAGGCTTTCAGCTTCTGGCATGGGAGATAGCAAGTTCAAGTTACTAAAGGAAGAGTATTCAGATCTCCAGGTGGACCCCAACACCTTCACGTGCTCACCCGAAGCAGCTCGACTAAGGAGTGCATCTGAACGACACTCGGAAGCATCGTGCGTGGGACATTTATTGTGTTGAACCTTATGGGATGAGAAGAACCACAAGAGTTGCCAGATTAGTTGTGAAAGTAGTCAGGCCTTGGAGCATCTCCTGCAGCTTCTTGACTTATCAACTGACATTTATGGGATCATATGGGATCGTGCTGAGGGACACGCGATCACCTTCTTTGACCATTTGGTTTGCATTGCAGGTCTTCACATCGATATAGTTCACACATTCTTCGACGCGAGATGGGATTCGTTTCCCGTTTCGCGGGACCCTGGACCCGGTGGGGTGGCGCCGGGATTCCGAGGCTCGAACTGACTTGCTGATGGACCCCTGGGGGTTCGATGGCCCACCCCTTATGTAAAGGCTAAGAGTCGGGGCTTCAGAGGTCTTAGTGCACTTGTTGCGTCCTGGTACTCAGGGGAGAGTTCCGGGCTCACAGGTACTTCTTGCGCGTGCGTGCAGGTGCGAAATGCGCACCTTTGTACACGAAAAATGTTTGTCGTGCGATGCATCCCAGGACGAGGCCGTGGAGATGCTTTTGACATTACCTCCTCAGCAGCTCGTCGACGGTTGACGGGTCCCAGACTTCACGGTGTTGCGGTGGATGTTTTTAAAGCTGAAGAAATAGTGATGCATGAATATAATATAAAGATTATCGAAGAAAACTACTGTATATATATATATTGTAGTATTATAGTGGTATGCAAGCAGCATAGTATTTACCTTTTTAAGTATATATAATATATAGGTATGACTTGAAGAAGAAACCAAAAGTAAACACGTAAAACTTCAACTGTCCGCTGATGACAGACACCAAGTTCACCTGACCTGAAGGGCCCGCCCGACCTGAACGAAGCGATCTCTCTTAAGGCACGCTTCCGCCCTGCTGACGTTTTGTGCGCAGAAGCATGGGACGAGCAAGCTGGTGGCGCCTTGGAGAAGAAAACGCGGAAAACCCCGGCCCCCCGGTCCGGAAGAATAGAAACAACGGCAAAATAAAGAACTCCATATTATGTCAAGGTGTTCAAGTGTAGTGGGATCGCATGTTTCTTCATCTTCAAACTGACAGCCAGGCTGAAGCTTTATATTGTTGGATCAGTCTGTGGCTGTTTTTTGTTCACCTTGGCATCCCCGACGTGGCTCAGGACCCCTCAGGCTATGTGGTGGCCACCATCAAGAAAGGCTACGTGCCCCGCTGAGACCTGCAAACCACCAAAACTGCGGGTCCGTTCGGCACGACGCAGAACGACCCTGGAATCGGTGCTGGGAGACCTTGGGATCGCGCGGTTGACACGCCGCTGCGCCAAGTGAACTGAACAGAACAGAGCAAGCACAATGTCATGACACGAACGGAAACATTTGCAGACAACTACAGAAAACACAGAGGTTGACACGGCCATGTTCAAGTGAAGCATAGTACCATAGTGAACCGGATCCTTCAACAGGCCCACCGGCACCGGCCACTACCCGACGATCTGCGGCTGACAATATTCGGCTGAGAAGAGAAACTGCGCGAAGAGTATCAGCTGATCCCTTTGCTGTTGAGACGCGTGCAGATGCATATCACATGTTACAGCTAAAATCAACTTTGGAATGATGCCAATCCATCCTATGCTAGAACAGACAAGTTCACAAGGTCGGCACAAACACGTGTGTTGCCACGGTGTGCCGTGTTCACACGGTGTTCACTGGTCTCCGGATGGACCGTTCCCATGCAAAAAGGGAGTCTTAGAACTGGGCGGCATAACGGCTGGGCGTGAGATCGGTGGTGATCTCCGTGTCCGACGATGTCCGAGGTGGATAGCATGGCGAAGATGAGACCTATATGTCCAATGTTTTCCTGGAAGTTTGGCCTTCAGCTTGACCATTGAAAGGTTGACCTGGTGTGTTTAAGTATCTTAAGCTAATAGTTGTTCAAGATTCAACCCCATTAAGTCAATTAGGTTGGAGATTCCCTACCAACGCGGGTGGTTCCCACTTCGTTCGTAGGAAGGTCCCTCCGATTCGTTCTGTTTTGATCGAGTCAAGACCATTTGTCTCTATCGATCCACACACCCTCTGAGAAGGCGATTGGAAATTATTGAATGTAGGCAAAGCGAGGGTCCAGTTGTAGCTTGTGTGAAGGTGGCTGTGATTTTTTTAGGTATTATGAATGTGCATTGTGAAAATGGACCATAACAGTGGCCCAACTTAGTGAAAACGGACCAGATTAGACACCTCAAATCGATGGGGTCCAAGGACACCCGAGCATGTCTTTGGTGAAATCCAGTTTTGCCCGAGAAGATGAACTGGACCCCTTTGAAACCGCATGGCGTGCGATTCGGCGCCAGGCGTTTACCAGATGTGGCGCCTCCTGTGCTGGCCGCTGCTGAGTGTCGTCCCTTTGACCGCATCGCATGGCGAGACGAGGGACCTGCGCATCGCATCGAACTGGGCGACAAGTCCGATGTTCTTTTCGGTAAAATGCGGGGGACACTAAGGGGACACTAGGTGCTGCATTCTTCTTTTTCTAAATAATTCAAACACCTATAGATCCTTCATGGATTAAACAAATAGGTTTACAGAGTTGTTCAGTCACCTGAAGGATACAGCCAGTATGTCTTACTGGTGTTTGTGTTGTTCTTGCTTATGGTGCCTAGTATTGCTAAGGTGATTTGACATGGTATCATCATTATGTTGTTTTTTCCAAGTTCTAAATATGGTATTCAAGATTCTAGTGCTAAACAAATATATTATATTGTATTCAATACTTCGTGCCTTCTGCAAGATTGCCTCCAACTTCCTTGTGGTTGGTGGCCTGACGCTGTAAGGCTGTGGTGGTCCGACCGCCCTTCAGCCAGGCGACATGTGTTCCATGCCGGATTCAACCGGACTTTTCCACATCCCATACACCTCAGGATGTCTATGCGCATCAAAACGGTTTGTTTTGTTTGTTTTGTTGATATATTTATATATATATTGAACACGTTTTTTTGGAGGCAACATGTTCTGATCCAATGGGGATTGTATTTGTCTCTAAACTAGATGTTGCGGCAAACGACGTATCGCGCTTGAATGACAAGCAGCATGTTGAGGCCAACAGTTCCATGCCTTTGTTTCAATCAAAGACATCAGACAAGGGTCGCAAGAGCTAGGTTATAATATATAGACATTATGCCATAGTGTTAACTGTTATATGATGGTATCATCATATCACTCCTTATTTGATTGATTCTCTTGAAGCACAGCTCCATTGCTCCATATGTGTTTGACCATTGTCAGTGTTGCTTCAGTCAGGTCTTCCAGACCCACATCCATTGCGCCGAACTTGCCGCGCTGCAGGGATCTTTGCATGAGCAGATGCACACCATGATGTCTGACAGCGAGGAGGCTCCATGGAAAGATAGGCCATGTCTGCGCCTGCATCCGGTGGTCGTTTTGTTTGTCTTTTTCACGTGGCCGTCGTTTGTGTGAAGTGTGTTTTTAAGTATATCCTCCTGCAGATTAATCGAGATTCTACCAGGTGCACCCTGAAACTGGGTTGAAGATAAATTTGTCTTCTTGCCTGAGCCCTTTTTAACGGTCGCACGGGATTGATGCATGTTGATGCTATCTACTGCAGATGGTCGGTTGAGTCATACTCAGCCAAACCGGCGGCGCATCCTTCTAAAAAGTCAGATGAGGCTGAAATAGCAACCTCTTGGTCAAAGGACGAACTCGATCCTTACTCACAACCTGAAACAACTTATATGATGACAAATGAACGACCCCAAGCTTTGAACATGCAGTTGTTCTTTATCACGTGGGTGTCTCATCCCGGGCAAGTCTGCAAAAACATGTATATAAAAGCCATTGAAACCAGGACCCGCAGCCTGCAGAGACAAAGGTCAACCAATAACTACGCGTGATTTTTTCTTATGCGCTTCTCCGGTGTGACCACCACCTCGCCTCCAAAAAGAAGAGGGGCCTTGGAGGGCCCGGAGGGCTGGTTTGTAGGACTTCCTTCCAACGGTATGGTGACCCCAAAATGGATTGCTCTTGAGCAATCCCCTGGAAACTGGAACTGTCCGCCATGGGAACGCGATATACTTACTTGTTCTACGTATTTTGGAGACCACGGTCAGCCTCGAGGCAGGCCACGCCACGCGACTTGGAACCTGCGGAGGTTGAACTACCCCAAATCCAGAATTGGTTTGATGTGTGTGTGTGTTGGGACTGCACTGGAACTCTTGGTAGCCCAGCATCAGAGCTCCAAGTGTTCAGAGCTCGTGGTGTTTCCAACACTCACTGGGTAGCCAGATCAAAGCCAGGTCCACCACAAAGCAGGTAAACCAGGTAGGTTGATTGCAGTCATGTACAATTATCAGATGAAATCTGATGATATCGGTTATATCAGTTCCAAGTCTCCCTCAAGTCCAAATGCACTAAAGCGTCACACCCTGTGGGAGGCTCATCAGTGAGACGGACGACGCCGATGATCCATACATGAAGGTGCTGGCGTCGCGGGCTCGGCAGATCGAGTGTCCACATAACTTGAGAAAGGGATCTGAAATCAACTGGCTTATTCCAGGACCTTCCAACAGGTGGTTTTTGGATACCCATTAATCTCCAAGAGGCCATGTATAGACTCTAGACACCTCTTGGAAGGTCCTGGTTTATGACATCTACTTTGAAGTTTTTACGTTCACCGAAAGAGATCGCTTTGGCCTAAAGAGGTCGAAGGGTGTCCAAGGTTTACATGTAGAATATGTTTTTAAACCAGCAGGTCCTACAGTGACAGACTACATCGCATGCCGGCGTCATGTTCTACCTCTTCAATGGTGTGTGTGCCGGCGTCCGCCACTGCCACTGGTAGCTGACATGAGGCAACCCCAAACTGATGGGTGAAGCACCTCTGACTTTGAAGTTTCGCAGTAGTTGACCTGACGTAGAAGAACTCGCCCCGGCCAAAAACACTTGAAGAACTCGCCGCAACCGTGTCACGTATCGCTCGCTGCTTCACGGCTTCGCACGGTCGGGCATATGACCCAGTCTCCAGCGTCTTCGGTGCCTTGGGGTGTGTAGATCTCCAGATGCCATATTACATCATATTACCATTATCAGTTATCACACCAGGACCTTCCATATTTCGTTCAGCGTTGGCTTTGTTCGGCAAGCCCGGCTTCCGCTTCGTTCGAAGGAAGCAGCGGAGGGGCTCTCCAAAGCTCTGGGGCCTCGCTGGGACCAAAAAGCGCTGGAGGCGCCCCAACGCGCGGGACTGGGACAGCTCGGGACATGGTGCTCGGCCCCGCTTGTTTTCTCCCAAAAACCTTCAACAAAAGTCACAGGCAAAGCACTACTTTATAAGACATGGCACAGCTGGTTTTCTATGAAGCTTGGGGTTGAAGGTCAGGGCATCCGTAGACTAAGAATTCAGCAATATCCCGCTTTGGACCATACGTAGATCAACCGTATACACACCAACCCTGCACATATTCCATGTACCGCCGACCGCCTGTATCCCGCCCCAAAATTATGGAATACCAACCGTACACCATTTGTAAAATGCCCATTTTTCGGAATGTCTAATTTAGATGAGTTCTTTTCATTCAGAGTTGAAGAACCCTTGAGCCTTGGCAACTCCTTCGGCTTCTGGTCCGAGAAACGTCACCCATTCCACCCTTTGACCACCACCCACGTTGGCTGCTCATCCCAACAGCGTTCCACGCCCTTGAGACTTGTGAGATCCAAATCGCAACTCAACTCACTCTCCCCCTTTGTTCCCAACCTCCAAGGCCCCAACCCTTCAATTGTAGTGTGTGATGTGTATGTGAGCCCAAGATATGACCTTTTATCCCTATAATCATACCCAATCAATCCACTTTCAAAGAACCTAATCTTCCAGGTCTCGACCGCATCTCCGACCGCTGCAGAATCGGGGTTTGTCAGGTAGACGCCAATCGGAAGACCCGGGCACTCCTGAAGGCCTTTGACGGTATACGATTCAATGGTGTTGAGCGACACGGGATGTGGGATGAGTCACACAGTACAAGCGAGGTCGTTTTGGGAGGGGAAGAACAAAGACGGTGTATTTTCATACTTGGGCTGCATAGGATTGAAGAAGAACACCGGGTCATGGAAATCATCCCAAGAGTCCAAAAGGATGCAAACTAACAAATTCAAACTTGCATTTGGCTTGCGGATGCAAGTTTTAGGTTCTGCAGATCCTTTGGGAGCTTGGGATATTTTTGCTTTTGAGTACATGAGAAGATCTGCATGGGTGTGTATTTGGAGACCCCGGAGACCCCTGGCTGGTTCGGACTGCTCTACTTTCCGAACCTTCCATGGGGTCGTTGCCCGCCGGCGGTTCGGTCTCCCGATTTCGGAGTGGATGACTGGTTTGACCCTGCCCCCCCCCCCCCACAGTAACAGTTGTAAAGGGTCAGGGCCTGAAAAACCATGAAAAACCATACCCCCAGATACCTTCAGATGTTTCTTGGGGGGTAGAGCATTGAATTTCCACCTGCGGTTTTTGTAAACACCTCCAAGCTACACTGTGAGTGCAAATCCAGGAGCTGGTAATTTCAAGCCCGTGGTTTGGAGTAGTTTCTTGTTTCTTACATGTGGAGTAAACAAGACTTGAACAGATTTAGCTATGGAACCCCCTTTGTACTCCCTCCAAAACCAGATGCCCATCGGCGGGCCGGGCTGACCCAATCTCCTCTCGTCCCAAGCCGACAGAGCCGGCTGCTGTCTCTTTGGAGAGGACTACTGTTCGATCTAAAGCATGTTTGGAGAATGGGGGTGTTTCACCCCCCAACATCAACACCAACAGGTTATCTCGCGCCGCGCCTTCGGTGAAGCCGTTGTTTGGGAAACGGAACCGATGTATCATACGGAAGGACCCGATGTCAGTGGCTTTCACATCCCGAGACTTGGGAAAAAAAGACATCGGGCACAGACGGCACAGACGCTTGGCTCTTTAAATAGATCTATCAGGAGTCACAGAGCTCGGAGTGGTGTTTGGTCCCCTTTGTGAGTGGAGTAGCTGGGCACCCCTAACCTCCAAGTTCGGCACCCCTTTGTGACCCCTGGATCTAGTTCATGCATATGTTTGTCAAAAGATCCGATGTTTTGACTGCAAAAGGGATGACAAACTTCGAAGACACTGGTGTTTTTGCCCCGATCCAAACTGCGGTGATCCATGGCCGTGGTGAAGCCCGCAGCGGAACCTTTTGCGCTTCACATCAGGTGGTGTTATGCTTGGTCTTTGAAAAGCTTTCATGGCTTTCATTCATTATCAGAATTGTGTCAACCGAACATCTACAGGAAAGCCATTGCTTTATAGTGAAAACACATGGGTTCCTTCAGATTCTCCCTTCTCAACCAATCCATGGGTCAGGCACCTGGACCACCAGGACCAGCTCCACAGTTTCAGAGTGGGCAGATCTTTTTCCCTGGAAACACCAGGCCACACTCTGCACTCAGTGTTCTGGAACTGTTCCAACCACCCGGGGCAGTTTCCAACTGCGAAACACGCCGGACACGTTCACGCATCGGAACACGCCGGACCAGTGTCGCGGTCAGGGCATCTCTGGGTCTTCGGGCATGCAAAGCCTGCAGAAGATGCTGGGAGCATTGAGATGAGTTCAGTGAGCTGAGAGAAGTCTAGGGTGAGAAGTCTAGTTATGTGGCGTACCACTAAGCCGGCCCTTCGACTGGATTTCATGGTATTGACCATATCCACCAAAAATATCCCCAAATCACAGAATTTGTAAATGTCATCACTTCCATCCATATATATGTGTATGTTTGCATCTCCTGTCGCCAATCACCCTTGAACTTCACTCAAACCATCCCCTCCGGATCGCCGGGCGACGCGTGAAGCCTGAGCAGATCTGAAGCCTTCGTGCGGCCGACGGGGAGAAAAAGCCGTGGTTTCATCGATTCCCGAAAAGCCCGAAGGATCCACATTGGGTATGTGATACCCTTTAAGGTGATGTGTTCGACACTGTTGTGTCCAGCCAGTCGAGTCCGGTCGTACCGAACCTGAGGTTCGGTACGACTGGATCCCGATTTCGGGGAGATAGCCATAAATCCGAAAGTGCTGATGGTTGGTCAACAAAAGGGTTGGACATGTTGGACATCGACATCTATAGGGCAACCCATCCACTGTCGGGAAGGGTTGACTTCATCTCGGAAGGTGGGCGTCCGGAAAATCAGAACCATAGACAATATCACAAGCTCTTCGGCAATTGGTCGTAGGGGAAGTGCATTCAGAGGCTTGATCAACAACAACTATTACTACCTGCCACTTGCAAGCACTGGTTTCACTTGCCAACCAGTTTCTTATAAGCCAGACCACTGTTTAATAGTTCATCGCAACTCAGAGAAGATCCATCCCTGGTTCGTGCTCCTGTAGTTGCGACTACTTCCTGACAAGATGCTTTGAGCAAGAAAACAAAGTGCTAAGATGTTTGATATAAGTTAGTACTTTCTCAGGATGCACTTGGAGTTTAGGGACATTGTTTGGCAGTTCATACAAGCCCTTGTCACAACCTCCGGTAGCTTTGATGCACATAATGACACATGTGGGTTGGTGTGAAGTTTGTTGAAGATCCTCTTACAAAAACCTGATGCGGGTTTGCGTCTTCTGCTTCAGAGGTACCTCATCCAATGACCAGAAGACAGGATCCCAAGAACACCAGCCTAGAACTACTGTGCACCTTTCCGCTTTCCTGGTGATTTCACCAAACAGGCATGCGCTTCAATGAAGGCCCATGGCCAGAATCTTTTTGTTGGGGGCTTCAGATATGCTGTCTTTTCGTTGGTTTCAGCATGCTTCACCGGCCGGATCGAGCCTCCCACACTCGCCCTGGCCTGTGCTCCATCGCTGAACGCATCCTCTCGGCTCAGTGAATTCATGGGCGTCGAAGGCCCATTGCCCGTCGGCGCCGGGGTCATTGAAAGACCCCGGCGCCGCCGCGGTCGTGCGGCGTCGTCCGGAGGTGGGGGGTGCGGCCAACAGTGGTCTTTTCGAAGGTGTCACGGTCTCAGGGCTTAGAACACGTTCACACCATTGGTTATAAGGGAAGGTGTGGGTGTCAGCCTACTTGGTGAGGTCACTGGTCACTGGTACGACCAAGGTCAGTCTTCTGGGGTCAGGAATGTTAAGGAGGATGGTAGATGAAGAAGCAATGGTGGTTTGTTTGCCTTTGTATAAGGACTGTCGTTCTGGAATTGGTGAATGTCATTCTGCTGCAGGTCCTTCAAAACTGCAGGTGAATATAGATAGTCGACATGGTGATGCATTGGCCAACATTGGCCGTTCTTTTCTGTCGCGATCTCAACCGAACTTCTCCCATTCGTCGGCACCGCGCAACGACCCAAAGAGATCCGTACAAAAAGACTCCAAAGCAACGGCATTTCCCGGATTCATTAGCTTTCAGAGCGTTGTTCTACAGGATTATCATGGAAAAGTCCCATGGTCGCTATTCCCACATAATTACCCAAAGACTCCATGTATGCCATATGCCGATCAGTTGGGGTGGTGCCAGGGGGGTCAATGGGGCGGCAGTCCTATGGCAGTCCCAGACGTGTCGTCTAACTGGGTTAGAGTGATTTTTGGTTCGGAAAATTTATCGCTTTTCTCATGCAGCCCAAGGGATGTCAATTGGGCCCGGGACGTCAAACCCTTCTGTCGGCCTAAAAGGGCCATGGCTGGCTTCGAGGCGGCATCAGGGTGTCGTCAGAGCGAGGGTCGCATGGCGGAGGGGAGGGGGTTCTTAGTCGTGTTCAGGGTCGCTTGGCATCCATTATTGAGAGATTTCTTAGATCTTAGAAGGATTATTAAGCATCTTGCAGTGGTCCTGCAGCCCTATTGAGACATGCCGACATGCCTTTTCGATCCTTTTTGATGGATCGAATCGCATGAGATAATAGGTGGAGTGCATGAGTGGGGACCCGGGTCCTGCTTGCTGAGATACTTGGAAGCGAACAGAGAGAGAGAGAGAGATTCAAACAAAAACAAGTTGGATTCGCATACATACACTCTTGCTTCACGAGATGCACGTGACTTCTCATAAACTACCAGGGTTTGGGTCTATAACAGTGTTGAACCCACCCTGTAAGCTTAGCCTGCCAAGAAAAGGCTTGGCTTAGCCCGCGTGTGCAATAGTTGACAGCTGAAATTTGAGCTTCCCATAAGTACTTGTTGCATGTTGACAGCCTTTTCCTGCAGGCTTCCTTTCAACGGATGCAACAAGAAATGCTCCTTTGGAGCCACACATGTATCACCTCACCCTTTTGTTGTTTTGTTGGAAGCCATACGGCTCCTCCTGGGAGGCGTCGTCGTTTTGTGTGTTCTTTTAAAATGTTGACTTAAAGTGTTTGAACCTATGTTTTCATGGCTTTGAAACCATGTTTACATCCGAAAGGACCTGAAACATCCGTTGGCCGTCCGGTTCCGAAACCAGCGGTTGGTTCTCTGGTCTGTGAGTCCCACGCGATGGTCCAGGTCTCCAGCGGCCTGTGGGGGATCTCCAGCGGGGGGACGAGCGGGGTCGGGCCTCTGCGATGGAACGAAAGAAGTCGAGAGGGACCCGAGAGCAATTGGTTTGTTTGGATTTTGTTTGTTTTGTTGTTTTTCCTACCCGATGCTTCCGTGGCTTTTGGGGTTTCAAGCTTCTGTGGAGTTGGCTTCGCTGGCTTCTGTGACTTCGGTCTTGTCTGGCTTGTGTGGCTTTTGGCTTTTTGGTGGCTTGTATGGCTCTGGGGTGGTTTGTTTTTTTGATGGCTTGCTATTAGTTCTCGTGGATTTCGTTGGATTTTGATGGCCAGGTTTGGTTTTGATAATTATTTTGTTTATTGCATTTTGTAGCTTTGCGGTGGCTTGGCACTTGGTTTCCTCTTGGGGGAAGGTGCTGTGCCCTCCCCCCAGCCTCCTCCATCGTTTTGAAGCCAAGCCAAGTCAAACTTTATAAACCAGAGCTAAACTAAAGCCAAGATAACCCCACGCCCTCGAGGCACCAGGGGACTACACTAATGGGGGCCTTCAAACTCCATAGGGAGCAACCGGGCAAAAAAGAACTGGAACAAAAGTACCTCCTAAACTATATAACATGGAAGTGAACAAAACTAATTCATGTCTAAGCTGTATAACTAACAAATTGAGAAAAAAAAGACAACATGGAAGTGGAGTTCACCCCGGCTTGGTCTTCGGACGACTCAGGGTCTTTCCTCAGGGACCGTTTGCCATCCACATAACCATCATTGTTTCAGGAAGTGAGACCATGTCCTGCGGGGAAAAAAAAGCGAGACCCATGGCAGGGCCTTGCATCCATGGCAGTGGCTCATCCGCATTGGGCCTGGGCCCAGGCAATTTTTGGCGACAGCAGCTCGGTGATTTGAGCCATGCGTGTTGAGAGATCACTTCTGAATTAGAGCAGTGCCAGAGGCAGACAGAGCGCTCATGAGTTGGGCGTGCTGCGTCACGTATTCAGGCCTCCACTCGTGCTGGTGCTCCAGCCAATCCTCTCTTACACACCGTGCCGACCGTGGCGACCATCTGAGGTTAGTGACTTTCCAGTTGTGGGTCAGCGAGTGACAAGAAATATGCGTTGCGGCGAAGGCAGAGCTGGCTTCGCAGGCATGGCTTCAGGCCACCTTCACCTCAGTGAGTCTCTTTCCACATCCGAAGGCCATGCCGCCGTCAGGAAGCAGCCCCAATGGTCAACCATCAAAAGGAGTGATGGCTTCATTTTTGGTTCCCGGATGGCTTCATGGCCCCGAGTCACGTCACAGGATGTCGATGGATCTGAGGTGACGCCTCAACACGGTGAAGGCACAAGCAGCCGTTGGTTTGCCCCACCAAGGAACAGAATATATCCTGTAATGATATGATGCGTGTAATTTTGTATGTGTATATAATATATATATATATTACCTAACATATTGTGAAATGTAACATATATATATATACACGTAAAACTATATATAGGATTATGAGTGGTCATTTTTCGTGGGAACTTGCTGCGCTTCCACATAATAAGTGGCTGAGTTCGCTTCCACCGGGGAAGGCACCGATGTTTGTGGTTTTTCACTCCTGGATTGCCAGTGCCCAGGTTCCAGTGTATTGTCACGCTATAAGTGTTGAATCCTCATCCTGGAGTAGATGAAATATACTGTAGGGGGAACAAACAATAGGATGTTGGGATCATGTTTTCTGATTGTTTTTGGATTGGTTCCCTTTATATTGTATCTACGAAGATTCTAGGATGCAGAACGCGCAAGCATGTTGTTAGTGCAAGAGGGCCCGGACCAGTCTAGTCTACCCATTTGGGCCCAGAGGGTCCCACTTGTTTCAATACAAACCTGCTGTGGTGCTTTCAGATATTTGTATGTTCAACAGTTCAACAGTCACATCTGAAAGCATATATGTGTTTTTTTTTTCAACGGTTTTAACCGTTCAACCATTTACTTGGGATGACTGATCCCGCTGCCGTTTCTCTTCCACTTTCAATTTCCTCACCCGCCCGTCGACCACAGAAACCACCCGTCCACCCGTCGACGGGTGTTTTGGCCCGCTGAGAAGGTCCCACTACCAGCAGCTGGGCGTGGCCCGTACCGCTACAGCACACGAAGTGCGGCGCGCCTATCTGGAACTGGTGAGCCCGCCACACTTTTCTCACGGGGCGATGACGCTTGGAACTAGGCGAAAACATGGAGACAACGGTCAAAGTGAGAAAACGTGGAGACAACGACCAGGGCCCATTCTGTAGGGATGTCTAGTTGTATATTCTTTTAGCCCCTTAGGTCCTTAGGTCAAGGGTTTTGTGAGTGATGGATCTTGATGGTAGATACCTTTTTGGACACCCTTCCACAGGAAGTTGCTCTAAGCCTTGAATTTCCCACTCTTCCCAGGATTGTTTCACATTTTGACCACGGCTGTCAGGGACTGGCGCTGAAGTCGTAGTACCAGTGCCGTTTTGGAAAATGGGCAACTCGATGACAGTAAATTATGTTTATTCATTTTTCCGGAATCCCAGTTGCCAAATGTTGCCAATACCATCCCTGTTTGTTTCAATCGCTGCACAAAATCTCGTTTGCCTAACATAGGTTTCGACTGTGCTTGCCTGTTCGACACTGGTGAGACTTGACCGGCGGCCAGGCACGTCAGTTGCATCCGGACAAATGCACCAGTGCTCAACAGTGAAGATGGGCGAAGGATGAGGAATGTGTCATGATGAAGAATTTGGCCGTTGAGAACTACGTACTTGAGCTTTGCCGGGGAAAGGTTTAGTATTTGTTTTTGAAGGCGCCTTTGCAAGGGTCCTAAAAGCTGTTTGGCATCAAGGAACTTGGACATTTTGCTTTGCCACGTGTTGTAGACCCTTTAACCTCAACCCGTCAAGTCAAAAAGCTGGCTGGCTGACACTCTCTACTGATGCCAAGCAAGTGAATTGCTTCACGTCGTTCGTAGATTGGTTTGTTGGTTTGGCTCAATACGACAAAAGGACACATATTGGTATTGAGCTTTGGTGGATCTGTGGATTTTCCAGGTAATTCTTCCACATTTCGTTGATCTGTCAACCTCCAGTGAAGTAATGCGCGAGAACAGCCGGCAAACAGAAGCAGAATCAGACTTGGGACTCACTTCACCTCCGAATGCAACCTGCTGGCACCCAGTTTGGGTGGCGCTTGGATGGAAAATCCGTCAGGATCCGTCAGGGATGTCCGAAGGATCTACACACCACCCAGAGTGGGTGGTGTTGGGCTGCTGTTCAAGCTCTTCACCCTTCCCTCCGCACGCCATGCGCCCAGGCTCTGCGCCGGATGCAGCCTTGCGCTTCATCCGCATCAACGAGGACCGACCGGCACACCGGTGTGCGCGAGCGAGGTGTCCACGGTGTCCACTCTTTTGGGGGAATTCACGGTGATTGAAAGGAAGAAATGAAAAGGGAATTCAAATCCTCCAAAAAAATCCTTCCCCCATCCCTAGCCCTACCCCGGTGCGGACATCGACTGGAAGTTTCATGAGCCCGGTGTTTGTGGTGGTCTGTGAAACGACGAAGTCGTGAAGATGAACAGGGACGAGCTTGTCGTTCCTTTGGCGAAGCTTTTCCTGGGTAGCATCCAGAAAAGTCAACATGACCTCAGTTCATTCTGCAGATATAGAGCTCCCCAACAATGATCTTTGGGCTCGATAGAGTACTTGAGAAGCTGTTTGGTCTACTGTGGTTACATGATGCATTCGATTGGTGACCGGAGAGATGTGCACATGGATACATCCGCACAGCTACCCACCTTCAGCAGCTGTAGACCTTGGGTCTGGGCCTGGCCGAAAGGTATGTCTCTGTCTGGGAGGCACGGACCCCTCTATATGTGCTTCAAAGGGTCCTTTTTTTACTTGAGTTCTTTGTTTCAGGGTCCATATAGCTAGAATTCTGCTTGCAGTCATGTCATAGCACCGGAAGTCATACACTTTCCGAGCCCTTTTTCGTATCGGGTCTCGACTGGCCCAGGCGTGGGAGACCCTCTCAAAGACCCATGCACGGCGCGCCTACGACCTCTATCTGGACACAGCGTTCTCGCAGGCCTAGACACCGCGTTCTCCTGCGCAGAGACAGGACTAGGATGATCTAGGACTAGGACCACCCTTGGCACCACCCTTGGATTAAGCCAGGCCACGGAGTGTCAGAGGCTTTTTCACACGGAAAAGAGCTGAGTTTTGTTTTTGTTTCTGGATGTTCCTCATCCAAAGTGCCCATCCTTTGAAACTGCCACAACAATCAGTTTGTAGTTGCAGGTGGTGTCCACAGATCAGAAGCAAGAGCCTCGTGGACGATCTTTCATCGTTCAAAAACATATCCCCCGTTCCTGTTTGGGTGGTTCTCTATTCGGAGACTCGTCGTCGCTTGAGACCCCACATGGTATCAACCACGACACATATCTACAGGATCCAAGCTGGGCGATACTCGCAAGACACATATTACATATTATATATTATATATATTATATTTATATTATATATATACAAACGATAGAACGCATAGAAACTGGTATTATAAGGCTAGACCGTGGTAGACATGTTCATCGTCCCATTCCCCAACTTGACAGGCCTTGCATGCATGTTTCCCTGTGTGCGCGCTCTTTTAGCTGATGTCGGATCTTGATCGGATGTTGGCGGTTGCATGGCGTGGAGCCTGTTTTGATCGAAAGGGGCTGTTCGACCACTACCCATGTTGGACCGCGTTCGACTTGGCTCACAGACTGTCCTTCGCCGGAAGTCGCAAGTCCAGGTACCTGTAACTTTCAGATCATTTGTTACTTGATCCAGTGACTTGACTTCATCAAGCAGTCACAGGCACCGCAACTACGTATGCCGAGTCAGGCAGCAAGGACGACCTCGACGGCTACTTACTTGCAAGCAAAATGACAGTTGTGTTTGTTTTGGTGTGTAGCAAAACGGACAAAAGCCAAGATATACTACTTTGGTTTGCACAACTTCAGGTATGACTGCGTCGTGTTTTTACGACCTTTGGACATTGCTTCCAGACTGGCATGTCGTCTTTTCGCGCCCCCCCCTCTCCAGGCCTGTCACAGTATGTCTTGTATACGAAAATTCATTTGGCACATGCAGGGAATTTCCTCGAAGTCAGAAGTCTTGCAGGTAGTCAGCTTTGGAGGGCGGATTGCATCGGCTGTCGGGTTCAACGGCTCATCCCCATCTGGGGTCAGTCTTGGATGCCAGCATCGTTTCCACTGAATTGAGCACCTTTGGCACCGCCAAAATCACGCATGCCCCTTTTTTCCCTACAGTATATATATATATATTATATATAATATATCTATATCTATTTGAATCTGTAGTTGTTTTGAAATAATTCTACCACATTGTCACATAGTTGTATTTGGTGGCTGGACCCCTTGGAGCCTTTCACACACCAACCAAAAAAGATTAATCTCATATGTCACTCTCACATTCTTCAGGACTTGATCCTTTTCAATGCAAGTCCTTCGTCCACCTGACGTTGAAGGACATGAGAAGTGTCATGTTTTTCTTTGCGATCGAAACAGTGATAGCCTTAGCCCTCAATGAATCAAAACGCCGCCAGTGTTCGATCTTCGGAATATTGTTTAACAAGAAAACAAGCTGGTTTTGACCATCAGGTTTATAAGACACGAAAAGCTCTTGAAGCACCTGAGAAGCTCGTTTCATCTCACAGCGGCCTGAGGTTTGTAGCTCTCTCAGCCAGCTCTTGGAGATGACGGAGGTGGGATGCGCATGCGCGGTGAAGTTCAGTTTCCAGAGGGAAATGTTGTTTGCCCAGAAACGATCATTTTGGGCCGGAGAGAAAACGACGAGTTAGTCATTCGAAAGGTCGCGGAACAAAACAAATCGAGCGGAAAGAACACCACAACATGTGTGCATGGTCTATTTACTTCAATTGCATACGTGATTGTTTTGGTCTGACACACTTGACATGTTTTGAGACGCTCAAATTGGCCCGTCCGGCTGTGTTCATCCTGGAACCGAGGACCGCAACAGTGCGAAGATCACGGAGCTGCGACGCGAGCCGCGCGGCTGACGGAGCTGATCTCGACTGGATCGACTAGATCATTTGTTTGGGGTCTATTTGTACACTCGAACTCACTCGCATCCATGTTCATCCGTTTGTGAGTGAGTCGGACATACCAGGACCCCCTGTTTGGGGTTTCTAGCGATAATTAGGCCTTTCTGTAGAGGTTCTGTGGGGTGTCCATGAACCACCCCCTTGTCAGCCCTGGTATATGGTGTTTAGATCAGGCAGCACCTTCGTCTAGGCTTTGAGGTCAAAAAGGGCAGAGTCAGCGCCAGCAGGCCAGCTTACAATCGTGTTTCTTTCGAACTCTCTTTCAGGCGTAACCCTTCTCGAAGTCATGAAATCTATGAGTCCCCATCAATTAAACAGGATCAATAGTAATCCATGACGCAGCCAGTGGCTTGGTGTTTTTTCAATCCTTCCTTCTGAATAGCAGGATTGCTAGATCCTCTCACGAGTAGGAGAGTAGTGATTAGACACATGCCCATCTCAAAATCCTCACCTTCTTGTTGCGAGGTGGCCATAGCCACCCCCTCCATGTCTCCGCCCATCCCTGGCCCAGCCACTTCGCCAGGTGCGAGCGTTGGGGCGTGAAGTTCCCCACTGGATCTTTGGAACGACCCGAGCTCTTGAAGTTCGTCTTTCACGCGGTGCGAGGCACGTGGAATTCGTGGTGTGCGCCGCGCGCGCGCGCGCGCCAGGAGACGCGCCCAATGTTGCAGTGAAAATCTGGTCGTGTGGGAATGCCAGTCTCGTGTCGTTTGTGTGACGTCATGTAAGATTCATTTCATAGGATCCCCCTCCATAATCCCCTGCTGATACAATCTGATACCAGGGTGTTTGCATGTGTTTGCTGTGCGTTGGGGACTGGAACCAGAGAGGAAGGGGTGGATGCATTCGCTTCAGATGCAAATGGTCCGTTTCCTCCACGGTTCCGTCGACGCTGGTTCTACATTCAGTTTCGGTTGTATGATGTGAATGGCTTTTTTTGGCGCCATTCAGATCGGAGTAGGATCAAACACGAGAAAAGAAAAAGTACCTCACACGAGCAACGCCTGCAACGCATGTCCCGGACGCTCGAAGCCACGTCATCACAGTCATCACACGTCTATATTCTTGCGTCGGAGAGTTTGAGGGCGCCTGGCGCAAGAGCTCAAGATGGTTGAAGTTGAAGCTTGGTAACGAAGCAATAGACATGTATCGAATTGTGGCCATTGCTTTGTCAAGGATTTGCAGGTTTGTTGTGGCTGCCTTGGTGATCAACTAGGCCGTCAGAGTTTAGATCCAAAAAGAGGAGCCCCGAGTCATCAATGTTTACTCCTTCCTTTGCTCTTGCTTTATCCTTAAGTCAGTCCTGATCAATTATATATAATATATATATTCATATATAATTACGGGCACTTGCAGAAGCGGAGGCCCCTCGATGGTAAGTATACATATGATCCAAGGACACAGGTCCTGGTAAAGAAACATGTGATTCAAGGACATGGAACCTGGCAGGTGCAATTATGTCCTGGTAGGTATACAAATATGTTATATTATAATGATAGTTGTGGATGTCTACAGATTGTGATGCATGTATATTCATGCCTATATAACTATTTTGATGTTCATTTGCCGTACATGCTGGACATTATTTTAAACAAAGTAAAACTTAAGATATTTGCACGCATTACTGTCCACATCTCAACCGCGCCGTCCTCATGAACAAACTGTCACTTCCAATGACTGTGTATTTGATCATCCTTCAGCAAAGATCATCCTTCAGCGACCGGACAACTGAAACGTTTCCACGCCTGGCCTGTCTTGCAGCGGAGCTACGCTCCGGAGCACCATGCAGGAGTTGGGGGCCCATGAGATGTTCGCACCACATCATGAAGATCACACGATCTCCCTGGATGACTACATGAAAAGGAAAAACATCTCCTGAAGGTATAGTGTCCAAGTTTCCAGGAAATATGCAAAACATGTTTGTTATTTTTTAATCACGTGTCGCATGTTGAAGTGGGCCACGGCCTCACAATGGCGGTCGCGACCGGCGAGTCCCTGCCGCGGAAACGGTCGGTGCCGGGACGCAGCATTCGTGGGCGGGGACGTTTGTGATTTGCGAATGGCCATCGTCATTGGTGACTTCATACACTTTTGCCGGATGCATGATATGACGTGCTGGTGTTTGTTTTGTTTGGAACTGAAGGGTGCCCAGGTTGTTTCCATTATAAGTTCATTTGCAGTGTTATTGGTCCCATTAGTGGACTGTAGCTTGAATTATGCACTGTGACTGCCACCATGACTCAACAGCTTAATGATAATTTCCTATACCATGAGGGTCTATGTCGGAATGGTTCTTAAAGCCCCGAGATGCCAGTCCACTGGTAAAAGATCAGATATATAACACCCCAAACATCTCCTGCTAGATACCCCTCCGACTCGTCGCATGGAAGTGGGACCAGCGCCAGGCGAGCTGGATGCGCGTGTGAAGTCGCAGGAGACCCCGTGTTCACGTGCCGAAAGACAGCGGGTCGGGGTAGTCGGGGTTGGGAGTCCAGCAGCTTCAAACCCCTGAATTGAGAGCTGGAGTCATAAGAGCAGGAACATTGATTGGATGATCAAAGGGTCCGTGCGCACGAGAAACTCCGTTTGACGGTGCGGTGAAGAAATTGGCAAGTTTGTTGTTGATTTCCATGGCAGTTCAGTTTCTTGAGCCCCCGAGTTGTTTTCACAAGGGTTGATCAGATGATATCAGATGTGTCCAAAAGAATGGAGGTGCAATTTGTGCGGTACGTGGCGTGTGACTCCGGAGTGTTACAGAATGGTGTGACCCGTTCTTTGGGTTCTTTGCTTTTCAGAGAATACTGTTCAAACCATTCATGGCCTTTTACTGCCTGGTTGATCGAGGGGGAATCCCTCCGGTCGTGACCATGTTCGGTGTGTACGCACTGACATGCACCGACCCCTGTTCCGATTCCCAAGGTCTCATTGATTTGGATCTCCAAGTCTTACGAAGCGACCGAAGCAGTCAACAAGATGCATTTCTTGGCCACTTTTTGCCGACCCAGTGGGGTTCTTCGACGCCAGGAGTGGCACCGCGTGAGCAAGGACGACTTGGTGGCATGGCTTTGGGTCTCAGTGTGGCGGTCCGTGCGGCCACGTCGTCGCTTTTGGCTTTCGGTGGGCCTGGGGCCTGGTGGGTGGTTTTTGGAACCCCAAATATCAGGGTGGCTTAGTGGCTTATCAGCATTCGATTTACTCTCTTGTGCACGCCTTTTTGCGCTTCTGTGTTAAAGCCTGAGATGAGGTGTTGGAGGCCCCTTCTACCACGCTTTCCCCCCAAAAGCACACTGACAGCATCCCTGAACATCAATTGTCATCTGGTGCAAGGGCTGATGTATCAACTGAGGGTCACAGGCATGGCCTTTGTGTGGACATCTATTTGCAGCTGAGGTTTCGAGACAGACAACACGTTGAACATGTCCACGCTTGACTTCCAACGGGTGAATTGCGAATCGTATGAAGCAAGCACTCGGGCATGCCTGAGGCTCAGCATGATGGGGTGCTCGCAGTATGCCCTGACGTGCGAGACCATGAACAAGGAGCTCAGTCGTTGTCCAGCTGAGTCAGGCTGAGTCACGGTCGTTTCTTGTTATGGTCCTGGAGGTCCTGAAGCCGACGCTCGCACCTCTTCAGGTCCTGAAACATGGAGTTGTGATTCGTCCCATGTTGTCCTGGCATTTGCTTCCTCGAGTTGTTGTTCTTTCCGTATTTGTCCAGATGTATGCAGCAGATTGCAAAAGATGCCTCCAGACGTACGCTGTTGACAAACCCCCCCCCAAATCGTCCAGTGCTGTGGCGCGGGTCCTTGTTGGGCACAGTTGACAGCTGTGGTCTTTCATCGTCCGATGTTTCTCGAGCAATCTTGCGTAAGCCACTCCGGGATCCACGTCCTTCTTTGTGCCATCCAAGTGGTCCTGTATACATCACGGTGCACTTCAATGTTTTGTGAGTGAAAGAACATGAAAGAACCATAAAGAACCCCAAACCAAAAAAGAGTCCTCTCGTGTAAACATTGTAGATATTACATATATCTGATATTATAACACACAAAACAAGTTTCGCGGAAGGCACTACTGCTGGGAAATGTGATGGTATATTTATTGATTAGGCTGGAAAGAAAGCAGACATGTGTTGCTTGTGTTTTGGGGAACAGATCTGTTCATCGATGTTGGTTGTGTCCGAGTGTGTCTCAAACAGAACAAACCAAGTCCTGGCGAGTGATCCATTTGAGCCATGCCAACGATCAACGAGGTCGTCGCAAAGGCTGAGGCTCGCTTTGGCTGCAGCATCCCGCGCCCACGCTGACAAGGGCATACCAACGCCACGAGCAGCTGGTTACAGTAATTGGTTCGTGACAACAGCGCGGTGTGTTCTTGCGGCGATGAGCTGCACTGAACACCTGGCCTTTGAGCCACGTCTGCGGCGATGTTGACGTCCGCTCTCTGGTCCCCTTCTGCGCGCGGCCTGCGCGGCGCTGACAGCTGTGGCAGCTGTGGCACGGGCTGTCAGATGACCCGGGGCGGAGAAGACCGTCCCCTCACTGGAAGCTAGCTCAACGCAGCAGACATTGGAACGCACTTGAAATGTCCGCAAAATGGAGGATGAGGTTGACAACTTGCGGACAGGTCTAACACTTTCGACGCCCAGGTGACAACATTTAGACACTAGTTGAGGGATGTCCACTTCTTCAGTGTCTAAAACTGGCAGCTCGAGACCTCGCCTCTTCCCGGGAGCGAGCTATGAGGTTTACGCAGAACATCGCGTGTCGTCGTCTTGGCTTGGCGTTTGAAAGGGTCTATTCTACTGTAGGTCGGCATAGGTCTTGGGTGAAGGCCTTTTTTGTTGGGTTTCATAGCGTAGATGTTGGGTTTCATAGCGTAGATGTCACTGTCACCCCAACATGTTTTCTGTTTTTAATATATGGGGCTCCAATATAAACTACCAACCTTGGGGTTTTCTTGTGCCATGGAACCTCTCAATCCACTCAATCCTTGGGACAGATCAGGACATCGGTAGGACATCCCTGGCACCGGTCGGCGTGCCCCAAAATCCAGGAACGGCTGATCCTCCTCGCGTGCGGTTCCTCAGCCGTTGCAGTCCCATGCAGTCCCTGAAGTGAGGGGCCGGTTTTTCATTTTCGTGCGGCACACGAGAGAGGTTTCAAGTGATTCTCAAAGTGAACTAGGTACCCCAAAGTTATCACTAGTCTTAGGTTTGATGCTACACGTAGTGATACAGTGATACTGGCTTAAAAACTGGTATTTTTGAAGGAGCAAGAAGAACCACTGGAAACCAAATGACCCCAGTTAATCAGCGCTTCCCACCTGAAATTGATCTCCAATCCACCGGCTCTGGCGGGTCTTCTTGTGATTCTCGTCCATCCGTTCGTCCTTCACCTGCGATAGCCGTCATCGCATCCATCACGTCCATCGCGCTTCACGTCGTTGTCGAGCGAGGCGTGATCTGGTGGCCAAGGGTGCAACTTGGAGCACTCCGCCGGGGCCATGGAGAACTGTTGATGTCCAAGGAGGACCAGTTCATTGGACTCTAGAGGGTGACACCCCAAACCAGCCGACCAGACCCACACTCCGTCGTGGTTATTATTGTGTGTTTGTTGTTATTGTTATTGTTGTGTGTTTTTTTGTTTAACACCAGTTTGAAATTGATGTTTACTGATGTTCACTGTCTCGTTTTCACATAAATCGGAATAGCAGAATATGATATCATATGATACAGATTTCCCTTACACATGTGCCCTTTTACATAGTGGGTTTACTGGCTTCCTGAATTGAAGTTGACAGTGTCCGCTTCTGCAATGGTTGCGCGTTGCGCGGTGACGCTAGTGGTGAGAGGTGACGGTCGTGGTGCAAAACGTCAATGGTTGCGCACAGTCTTGCTTACGAAGTGTAGGCGCTTTGCGAGTTTGCGGGATCAGCAGCTGAAGTGTGGGCGCAGGGCCTTCTATGGAGGCCAATCATCTAACCGTAGGACCATGAACTGCTGGTGAGTTGCTGGTGACCCAAACAGCCCACATCGAATTGGGTCGAATTCCGCATACGGCAAAGCCTGACATCTTAAGACCTACGTTGAACGTAGAGCAGTAGAGGCGATAGGCCGAATGACGGAATGACTTCCTATCGGTGTGTGAATGTGCAGTGGTCATTACCGTGCTTTTTGGGGCTTGCCTTAAGTCTATTCTCTTTTGGGGCGACCATCGCTTTTTTGTGAGTGGGAAACAAAGGAAAGCCCTACTGGCTCTAGCTGCTAGGCCTCTAGCAAAGGCCCGAACTGTCTTTGATCTCCTACAGCTAGGTCTTGACGTGCCGTCACTGTTTTTGTCAGGCGTAGGGCAGATATTTGACAATCTAGATTGAAAGATATACTGTATATATTTCATCTTGGATTCATGTTTAGTTTCTGGCATGTGTTGATCTGGTTTTGACAGTGTGTGTTTTTTGTTGTTTAATGTGTGTGTGTGTCACTTTGTCACATTGTTGAAAAGTTTTATATTCCTTATATTCCTATATGAGGCACTGTGTCAAAGTTATTCTTGTAAAGGCAGCTGCGACCACTTCTGGGATGTGCAATTTCTTGGTTTTCAAGTGCTCAAAACTCACAAAACATGGCGACCCCATCCCCTTTGTTCCGACCATGGCGATCACGCGTCCGGTCCGACTGTGACCCAGCCACTGAGGTTTCGTGGTGTCGCGGCCACACGTCGCTTGGACACGGCATCGCTCGGAGAGAGTGGGGACTGTGCCATGAAGGGGGGGTTGAAGAACCTGGGGATACCTGGGGTGAGAAGATGGTTATGTCAATCAGCTTGAGAATTGTGACAATAGCCGACAATGGCTGGCGGCTCCAGCAGTTTTTGCCTTCTTCACCTCAAAAAGGAGTTCGAAGACTCCATTGAATATGGGCAGAACGGGTCATGAGGGTAAGAGTAGTGAGCACGACTCCTCTCATTTCTTTGCAACATCCTCCCCGTGGACCAAGCTGCCCAGGGGACATGAGGCTCCTCCCCCGAATGAGAAGAACGGATAAGAACGGCATTTCACATTTCGCCGCTCACCCCCTTGGAGCCCTTTGGAGTTGGAGTGTGGTGAAAATGAACACCTCGTCAGGGTTTGGGTTCGAAGCCACACAGAATGGATGAACGCAGCATTCAACACCGGGTTTCTCTACCAAACGCGAGATCCGAGATCTGTGATCAGATTTGTAGATTCGTTGTTTCTCACATCAGTTGAGACACACCGCCTATACACGCCTTGCACACCCTTTTGATATGACCAGATTATGTGACAATAGATACGATGCATGAAAGCCGCGGCATGGAAATAGATAAAAGGTGAGGGCCGACTCAGCAAATGGATCGAAACAAAGTTTGGTCATCGTTTCTTCATCGTGCCAGCAAGGTCATTTGCTTGCTGTAGAGTTGCAGTGGTCTGGGTCATTTGGTGATCACCAGAAAGTCCAAAGTCAACTCCGATTCTGTGTGCCTTCCCTTGCCAAGGCCCAAGCTGCCCACAGGAGGGTCAAGCCCCATCCCCCAGAGGGTCGGGTCCGTCGGACGTGCGTCGGGGCGCCCAGAGGGAGTTCGATTGCGAAGGAGTTCGACTGATGAATGAGCCAACAGTGGTTGAAGAAACCCTATAGACTGAGTAATCACTTATAGGATCTTATAGGTACCCCAGGTGACGGGTCCTTTTTCAGGTCACTTAAAGCTCTCTTGGAACATCTCAGTGCGATAGCTATCGCAGCCTGTACCCCAGTAATTAGTATATCAATGACTATCGCACGATCTTTGCACCATGAAAGTATCTTTGCACCATGCAAGTTCATTTAAGTTCAGTCCTGCAAGAAAAGATTACTGAGCTACCCTCCCACTGTTCTGCCTCTCAAGCGAACAAGGTCCACAGGCTGCACAGGAGGCAAGACCAGCAAGCAACACTTGCAGTGGAGTCTTTGGCTGCAAGAATCCAGGAAAGGTGAAACATGTAAAGGCCTGTTGCAAAACATGAGCACCCGTCCGTGGCCACCTTACAAAACATTTGCGAGGCCTTCTTGCACACTTGCTTTCGAGATGTGCAATCCACCGGGTCAGCAGGTGAGAAACGACGGTATTCCAAGCAAACTCTTTGGGTCAGTCTGTGTAGTCTTCGAAATTCCTTGGACCTGTGACTCTGTGGTTTCAACACCCCTGTGTATACCTGAAGAGACAGTCCACGACCCATATCCCCTCCCCTGGGATATCGGTGTATTTGCGGCGTACCGATCTCTTTCTTGGGGATATCCGCGTATCGGCAGCGAGCCTAGTATATGCCGCTGGATATTGGCGTATCGGTGGCGCACCCATATCCCCCACTGATATTTCATCATATGTCATACGTGTGCTCCTGCTAAGAAGGCCAAGCTAACAACAAGCTTTGATGCTTTGATATTTCTTGTCCTCCGTCTCCGTACAGGATCACCTTCTTTGTGTGCCCTCCTTCACCATCATCGAAATATTTGTTGGGCACCGCAGTTGGGACTTGTATATATATATATAGCTACAACCCAGAAACGCAAAAGACAGAGGGCAAAGTTCACCAAGGCCACCCTTGAACTTGGGATCCAAGATATTCTCAACGAAGTGGATGGCCCAACTGCTTCTCCAGAGTGGTATGAAGATGTGAATGATCACCCCGCAAACACTGATGGTCTTCCTTCATTCTGCAAGGAGGGATTGCATGTTTTTGTTGATGATCAATTCATTATGCAGAATTCCCAGTCAGTTCTTGCATTGAAGTCATTGTTTGGATGTGTCCCACGCATGAAAAATTGTTTACCTAGCGCTTCCAACGGGTGCCCAATGGAGACCTGTAAGTAGGGTAAGGTAGTCTATTGGACACCCAGACAGGATGATCCTGGCATAATTTATATAGTGTTGTTCTGACAGTCAATGGATTCATCCACTTAGTACTCCGCTCGCTCGGCGCCGCAGCCCATACCTTAGTTCTTTCCTGCTGTTTCCTGCAGCCAACTAAGGAGCCTCCAAGATACCCAAACCCAAGAGAAAGGCTGCGGCGAGCAAGCGCCGGTTCACTCAGGCACCAAGCAAATAAAGCGAGCTGAAGGTCAAAGAAGTTGGAATAAGGACGCTATGGTTGAGCTAAGCATAATATCACACTCCAGATGCCGGACTTTTTGGGTTCCTGGAAGATGCCAAATTGGGAAATCCTTGCCAGTACAGCCGAGGAAATCCTAAAAGTTATTCCCTTCAATTTGAGTTTCTCACTGTTTTCAATAAAATGACCCTCAGTCATCCAAAATTGACACTACCTCTTTTTCCAGTCAGTATCATCAAACCACCAAATGCAACACATAGACTCTATATATGACTCTTTTTCGTGACTGATTTCAGGTGTAGAAACTTCGTCCTGTATGTCCGAAGATGCGCTCCGCCGGGAGCCGACGGACCATGCCAGGCCTACGGCTTTGGGCGAACCTTGCTGGAGGCCACCGTTCAGCAAGTCGTCAGGACGGCAACGGCACCATTTTTGGAATGACAGACCTGTCGCAGACGTTCAAAGTGCTGTAAGAGCACTTCATTCCCCAAAGTAGATGTTTTATTGATATTTTATGATGTTTTGACAAAACCTCTATGAAAGAACCGCATGATCCAATTTTCAATGTTAGACTGTCGCGTAAGCTAAAGGGTTTTGACCACCGCTCAAATGAGATGTTCTCTTCGCCAAAATCACGGAGACTTGTTGACCGCTCATGTCTGACATGGTTCTGCCACCCCAAATCACGGAGAGTTGTCGACCTGGCCCAGACGTAAAATCAACAAGTATTGCCCGTAGACTTGCAGAGTCCGTTGTTTGTTGAGCGAACAACTGGGGCGGTACCAAAACAGCCAAAATCCAAACGACCAAAAACACACTGTCAGCAACCAGATAGGAGAGGCACTGAACACAAGGCCAGCTGCTCTGACTTCCCATGACATGAGGGCGAAGTGTTTCTTTCAGTGTGGGTCAGGATCATCCTGCAACAGCTGTTGGCGATTCTGTGTTAACAAGCCCAGCCAATCAAAGGCATGTTCATCATCCCCTGCGCCCGACAAACCGCGCCCTCCTTTGTTCGAGGCCTTCCGGCGGCAGAGGCAGGTCCGTGGAGTTGCACTTTGTGTGTTCACGCGGAGTCCGTGGGCGGGTGGGTTTTGCTCAAGGAATGAGGGAATGGATATGAATGGATCCTGTTCAGTATCTATGGTAAGGGGTCATTCCCTTATTCTTTGCGTTTCGCACCAGTAAGCAAAGGCCACTTTAGCCCCTGATCCACTGCACCGAACGAGACCGACTTCACCGAAGGAGACCGAGAAAAGGCGCCCATCGTTCCCAAGCGATGGGTGAGTGGAGGGTTGTTGGAAACCGGGTGAGAAACCACTGAGAAACCTCCCAAACCAGAAAACTCGCAGTTGGGCACAAAAACTCGCCAAAAACAAACTGGCGCCGAAGGAATTGGTGAGTCACAGACCTGCGCAGTCTGCTGCGATCTTCGGTGGGCCGACCTAAGTTCACTTGGCGTTCGGAGCGTTTTGGTTGGCAATGGAGCGTTTGTTTTTTCCTACTGACTTTATGAGGCTCCAAAAACTTACTTTGATGGGTTTGAATGACAAGTAAGTGTCAAGGTTGAAGCTGTTTTCTAATGCTGGCCACTTGTAGTAAGGTGGCATATGTTATGCTTGCTGCAGGATGATTTTTTTTTTGCACAACTATCCCAGATTTGTCAGACCCTGGTTTGGTCCACTCATATCTCCCGAAGCTTCAGTATTTTGTGGCCAGATGTAGTAGTTCTTTTTGAAATCTTCTCGGAGATATCTACAGAAATCTGTGGGTTTTCTGACCAAGAAAAAAGTCCCATTCGTCACACATGAGCCAATCCCAGGTCTTCTTGATTCTTCTTGCCCATGGGGTTCCATCCACACTCCGCACGCCGGACGGGGCACCGCCGGTCCCGCCAGGCCCGTACCTCCCGAGGCAACGACGACGAAGGCGACGAGGACGGAAGCGTCTCAAGCTCAGTCTCGATGACGTCGGTCGGAGAATTGGGGTTCGGAACATGGAGAGACGTGGTGTGAACGAGCCGAAGATTGGAGACACGTGTGTGTTCAGTGTTCAGTGACCGTATTTGGCACCGGTTGAGCATCACAAGCACCATTGGAACGTCGATCCCGAAGATAGCAGGTGCGACACGGGGTGCGTCACCACGGTCCATTTCCCTAAATCCATGCCTTAGTTTGAATAGAAAGCCACAGTTTGAAACATGACATATCTAAAAGAAACACCAAGGAGAAAGCAACATGAATCAACACAAAAGAAAGAGTATAACAGAGATAATTTGATACCGCAACGTCCACAGCCAGGAAATCCCATCCCGCATGTTCCAATCTCTCTCCAGTACCATTCAGAAGCGTGATCAATGAGGCATCCATCCAGTGCCACCAGTCGCCATTGTTGGATCATTGTGGATTGCAATTGCAAGAAATACGAAGTCAGAGCACCAACCACGACCTATACCACTACCCACCTCATACATCGAAGCACTGATACACTTCATCCACGAAATCACGATGCGAACGTCATCCAGAATGGTTGAACTGAGAGCCATAAACCAAGAGTGGTCATCATAGGAACTCCAACTCACGCTCTGAAGTTGAAGGGCTGAAAAGTTGGACATTACTCATGCGTTCCTCTATAAGTTCAATGAGACGGAGAGTCAAAGCCGCTGGAATCACATGAAATCACCCACGACATATCATCCATATATGCTCCCCATTCGCGGTGAAATGGAGAGTCATCAGTGTTACAAAGATACTGATGGGACTGGTCAGATTTGCCCCCAAGAGTTCAAGGAAAAGATCAAGGTTTACGAGCCTTGCAAGTGTTTCCCCACCTGTCAGCTGCTGTCCTCCTTCTCCTTCAACTCCTCCTCCTCCGGACCTCAACCGCAAGTGCAGGATGGCAGTGTTCCCCACCGGACCTCAACCGCGAGCTCCGGATGGCAGTGTTCCCCGCCGGACCTAGCTCCGGATGGTAGTGTTCCCCGCCGGACCTCAACCGCGTGTCAGAAGATATGCCAGAAAGAATGTCAGAAGATACGCCAGAAAGAATGTGAGACAGAGTGTCAGAAGGTGTGCACCAGAGTGAATGTCAGAAGAGGGGCCAGAAACCATGTCAGAAGATATGTCAGAAGAAATGTGTCAGAAAGAATGTCAGAAGATATTGATATGCCATAAAGAGTGCCAAAATAATGTTTCATTTCAATACATGCCAGAAAATTTGTCAGATTGAAGTGTCATGGTGGGGGTGACTCGAAGTAAAGTACTCGTACGATGGACATCATTATATCATATGTGGCCATGTGGCGTTAGCCAGTGCACGATGTTTGCTTCTCTCTATATCGCCACATGTGTCAGGAATCTTGTAATTTTTAAATTGGAGAGAATTTCCGAACTGACTTCGTTTGCATGTCATTCGCCACAAAGCATGTTCAAACTTGTTCAATCAATTTTCCCGGATCCTGGAAGCCTGTGGACCCCAGGCCCAAGGCGAAGACCAGGAGTTTCACTTCGTCCAGGCGAGCTTTTGGTGTTCATTTTTTGCGGAAATCCTGGAGCATCCGAAAAACAAAAAAACAGGGTGACGGCAAATAGATCGATTTGTTGGGGCTTGGGATTTTTGGAAGAGGTTTTCAGATATTTTTTTCAGGGTTTGCCAGTTGTTTTTTGTTTGATCCACGTTTCTTATTTTTTTGCAGGGATGTTCCATGGTCATCCCTGGTGCGTGTGTTATACAACGGTTGTATATCGTGTGAAGGGTATTAATGAGTAATAATCCCTCATCACGGTAGCGAGACCAGTCTGCTAGGCAAGTCTTTCCAAGAGATTTTTGTCACTCATGACATGGAGACGGCCCTGTGGACGAGCGGGGGGGACGGCCGATGACGTGTGCGGCACTCGCCCAGCCACCCAGCCAGAGCCGCCTTTAACCTCTCCCTTTTAGGGAGTGAAACATAGGATTAGGATTGGATTGGACAGGAATGTGATGTATCACGCGGTATGATCTGGAACCGTCGTAAGGACTAGAAAAAACACAACTTGGCCGTGCTCCAACACCTTGGCCTTAAACTCCAACTTGTCAAGGTGGTTTCTTTGAAACTCAATCAATTTCTTCAGTGATGCAAAACAAACCGCCGCCGGTCTGAGGCTGAACAGATAGAAACGGTCTCTGCCCGTTTGCTCACAAGACTGCTTGCTAGGTTGACCAACAGAAAGTTGTGATTTGATTGATGCTTTTCTGGTATGGCTCCCAGTCAAAAATAATTAAGCCAAGCCACATATCACATGTCCCATCAAAGTTCACCCAGCATGTCCAATAAAGGGAAGAAAAAGATGTCAGATGAATCCTGCGTTAGCTTTGCTCTCTGTGTTTGACATCTTGGCAAAAAGGAGATGAATGAACACCTCGTGAATTGGACATAATTGGAAATCGCCTCATTCTCACAGACCATCTTGAGTACTTTAATGAAATGGTAATTGGAGCCATCTGGACACACTTCAAGTGCTGCACGACATTCTTCCATCCGCGGACGCCATGACGGCAATGAGCAGTGGAGATTATTTCTTTCGCTGCTGGGGCCTTTTCGCGGAGTGAGACATCGTGAAACGATTTGGGATTTGGGTAAGAAAACTCATCAAATCGATTCCTACCCAAACAGTCCCACAAACATGGTGAAACTGTTGTTTGGGAGGCATGTTGGTCCAACGGATTTTTGCGGTCTTCACCTTTTCGTTCTTGTCGGGATTATATCTAGGTTTTGCCGTTTTGCCCTACTGCCATGTTTGACGTCACAAGTTCCTGGCCTTTGGAGATTGGAAAAGGGGCTCGGACTAAAAACTCTGTGGAAAGCTTCTAACTCAGATCCCATCACTTCCTTTGAGACTGTGTGGAAGAGGGACTAAAGGGACTCTAGAAAGACTGGGACTCTGTGCTTTTTCTAAAGAAAACACATCAGGTCTTTCTCCACCTCCTCCCGGTCCCACCCGGCGGATTCGGGGTGACCGCTACGGTCAACGGTCGCCAACGAGAAAGCTGGTTGCCAAAGGTCACGTCAACAGATTCTGACCTGGAATTTTGAAGTGACTTCTGTTTCGCAACGAATAGGTTCTAACCACGACTCTAAACTATTTTTTCCCACCTTTCAGATGAGGGTTGTTAGATTTTGGAAGAGGATCCCGCCATGCCTCCTCCTTCTCTCCTCGCACCTGCCAGCTCCAGATCGCAGTGGGCACTCCAGACCTCCATTACTCTACTTCGAGCACAGACAAGACCTGATACCAGACCATTTGATCAATCTGCATGTCCGCCCTTGTCAGGTTAGTATGTCATGACATGTGGGATCGCCTTCTTCCAGGCTTCGCCTTTCAGGGTGGGGATCACTCGAAGTAGAGTAGATCGATGTATTTGTTATGAGCTTGGGTGGGGTTCACCTACCAACCACCTTCTCCGGAAAAGGGACCACAGCAGGGGCCCCCCGTCTTGTTGGATCTCGGGATATTGGAAAGTGACGTGACCAGCAGTGTTGGTCGATGCTTGTGGGTCCTCATGATTTCTGCTCAGGTGCTGCAGTCTGAACGACTCGCCAATGGAGTCCACTCTAAAGATTTCGAGCCTCGACGGCTCCACTTTTGAACTTACTATTGATGGCGCGACCACTGTGGCTCGGGACAGGCATTTGTTCTAGTTTGTGTCCTTTGTATCTAGGAAACTTCAAGTCCCTAGCCTAGGAAAGACCACCTACTTGCACTGACCAAGCAAAAAACATCACTTGAATTGCTTTTTCCTTCCTGTTTTTGTTTCAAGAGTAGCTTTAGCGTGACGAGCAAGAGTGGGGACTTAAATTTCAGTGGAGGACATAATAGGACATGTGTATATATATATATTACAATATGCGTGGACTGATGTGTGCGCAAAGGATTATGAGTCGACATACCAAGGTTGATGATCTATATGCGCGCATTGCCACTGAAGTTGGCCTCAAATCAGGGGCTGGTCAGATGCTTGTGCTTACCTCCGGTGGGACAGTGCTTGATGACAGCAAGCCACTCCTGCAGCAGGTCTACTCGGATGAAGTCACATACCTGCTTCAGATCATCCGCAGTGCTCAGGCTGTCCAGAGTTTGTGCCGCACCGTCGACGCTTTGATCGCAAACCAAAACGGATGCTGTTCTCAGGGCGAAGTGCGGCGGGTGGACTTGAAAGCCATAGAGGCCATTGCCTCATTAACCTTCAACTGGAATTCCATGATGAGTTTGACAGCCATCCCTTTGCTTGGCAGCTTAAAGACTCTGACTTTTGGCGATGACTTCAACCAAAGTTTGGAACAGGTCACGTGGCCGGATACCCTGGAGAATTTGACCTTCGGCCATTGCTTTGACCAGAGCTTGGAAGGTGTCACCTTGCCCAGCAATTTGCAATCATTGACCTTTGGCTTTGATTTCAACCAGAGATTGGAAGGTGTCAACCTGCCAGACAGTTTGGTCGCCTTAAACTTTGGTTTTTATTTCAACCAGAGATTGCAAGGTATCAAACTGCCAACCTGCTTGCAAGTTTTGTCCTTCGGTGGACTATTTAATCAAAGTCTGAACGATGTCAACCTGCCAACCAGCCTACAAACTTTGATCTTTGGCGGGTGTTTCAATCATAGCTTGGAGGGGGTCAACCTACCAAACAGCTTGCAGACTTTGACATTTGGCTATCACTTTAATCAGAGCTTGAAAGGTATCACTTTACCAAATTGTTTGCAGTTCTTGACCTTCGGCGATGGCTTCAACAAAAGCTTGGAAGGTGTCAGTCTGCCAGCCAGTTTGGAGCGATTGTCTTTGGGAGCAAAGTTCAACCAGAGCCTGGTGAATCTGCCAAAGAACTTGTGTTGTTTGTCCTTGAGTCCCAAGAGTCCCTATGTTCAACATGTTGACCAACACTTGGAAAGTGGGCCAGGGCCAGAGAGTCTACCCTTGAATCTTCATAGCGTGCAGAGCTTGGTTGCTGTCACATTGCCGAGCAGCTTGACTATGTTGGTCTTTGGCGATCTATTCAACGAGAGCTTAGCAGGGGTCATGTTGCCAAGTAGTTTGCACACTTTGACCTTCGGGCGGCAATTCGATCAGAGTTTGGAAGATGTCAACCTGCCGAAGCACTTGCAGACTTTGAACTTTGGGGAATGGTATAACAAAAGTTTGGAAGGTGTCAGTTTGCCAAGTGGCTTGCAACATTTAGCCTTTGGTTTGCGATTTAACCAGAGCTTGCAGGGCGTCCAATTTCCAAGCAGTTTGCAGACCTTGACCTTTGACTGGGCCTTCAACCAGAGCTTGGTAGGTGTCCAGTTGCCCAGCAGCCTGCACACATTGACTTTTGGCGATTCCTTCGATCAAAGCTTAGCAGGTTTCAAGCTGCCAAGCTCCTTGAAGACGTTAGTTTTTTGGCACTGGGTTCAGTCAAAGCTTGGCTGGTGTCGTTTTTCCAAGGGGTTTGCAGTCCTTGACCTTCGGCCTTGATTTCAACCAGAGCTTTTCAGGGGTGGAATTGCCAAGTGGATTGCACACATTGCTTCTGGGTCGTTTCTACGATCAAAGCTTGGAAGAAGAGGACCTACCCAGTACTTTGCACACTCTTTCCTTCCAACAATGCCAAATCTCACTTCATCGACGCTGCACCGCCTGAGCAGACCCAGTACTAAGCCTCCGACGCCGCCCGTGGGACGCGCGACTCCGCGGAGAAGACGTGGGGGAAAGACGTGGCCGACGAGACGTTGCTCCGTGTTCTTTGGTAGAATTTACTCGGGGAGGTGATGGGATGTCACACTCAACACGGTTCTATTGTTATAATCATCAGGATGTGATCAAGTCTCCGTATAGCGATGAGTTTCTTCAAAGGAATATCGGTTTCGTCGGATCCTGGGCAGACCAAGCGTTTTTCGTGGTGGTCCTCGGTCACGGGGATGATTTCAGAGGTTGCACAGATCCGTCATGGAACCCCTTGCCGACGCCCCCTGACTGGCCAAAGGGTGCTTTTCGGTACACAACGCGGGATCCATTCAGTGGGCGTTTCCCAGATCACCGGACAAGACTCGATGGGAAAGGAGTTTGCCACGTACGATGCGCGTGTCAATTTATGTGTCATTTTCGGGGGGGAAGAAGCTCACAATCTGTTAGCAGATCCTCATGCATATGGGTTCAGACTTCCACAATGTTCTGGAAGAAAAGAAGACGGTGCTGACACAGCTGCACTGGCGACAGGCAGAAGCCGAAGAGACAGGCGGAGGCCAAGGCCAAGGCTGACAGATCAAGGCGATTCTGCTTGGACAGAGAAAAGGGTGGAATGAATGGTTCATCCGCCCCTACTGCCACCACCCCGACATCATGCAACTTACTATGCTAATAGTATTATACTCTACATGCAACTGCAGCCGACTATACATGCTATAAAAAGAAACTAAAACCAGGTTTGGGTTTGGCAAGACCCTCTAATTCTGAAATGCTTTTGGACCTGTCTCGTGCTGCTCATGCATTCTCCCTGAGCATCTGAAGCTGGCAGTATGGACAAGCCAGGCATAGACCAGTATGTGGAACCAGCACCAGTGCTGAATCGAAAGCGCGCCACGGGCCACGCGTGCACCACGGACATCGGGCCGGGCTTGGCGCTCCAAGAAAGACTGCGGACGGGGTCCCAGACGGAAGCGAAGGCAACGGTGGACTTTAAGCACCGGTGATTTCGCGACATTCGAGAGCACACAAATTTCGCCGAAACGAAGGCTGAAAGGAAACGAAGGCAGCGTGAGAAGAAGTGACCTTTGGAGGCGATCAACTTGCAGAATCTGCAGTCTGCTTGTCTTGCTTGGACGAAAGCATTCAGAAGGACAAGGACTACAAGCACCCTCAAAAACCTGCTGGACAAGTCCTTCCATGAAACCTTTCGACTGCTCAAGACCCAGCTTGGTAATATCTCTTTGCTGGAATGGAAGCGCCTCCTTTTGGTGCTCGCGTGTTCGTTGGAGCCATTGGCTCCAACAAGCTGTACTGGACTTGGCCATGCTTGCCACCAAGCGAAGATTGCGCCCACAGGGCTGATTGAAAATCGACCCAAGTTGGAAAAGAAAAAACATTTATCCTGCCTTATTCATATCATATGCCGCGTTGGCATGATACTTTGTTTTCCAACCTCCATCTGAAGGCTTTTCGCTGGTCCATGGAAATCGTGTGTATGCCACGGGACAATGTCCCAGCAAGGCTTTCTAAGGGTCCAATGGCGCCATTTTGATCAATTTAGATCCACGGATGAAGAAGACTTCATTTCTCAAGGAGGAGAGGAAGGAGTCAGTTGTTTGCATGTTTCTTCCGCCGAGAAATTTGCTGTTTTCTTCATAAAGCTGAGCTGCTGTTTAGCAGTACCAAGTCACACTGGCTGGTGTTGGATGAAATACTTATGAGGGCCTATAGGAGTAGACTAACAAAGCACTTGAGAAGAACCCATGAAAAAGGACCCCAATGGCACGGGAAAGCGTGTATTGTTCACCAATACAGGTGGGACGACCTTCTTTTTGTTCAACAGAGTTTGAGAATGTTTGTATGAATTTGTACTATCTACAGGTGAAACCTGTTCTGATCTGTTATGTAACATAACAAAACACAACGGTTTTGTACATCTGCAATCCTGCAATCCTGCTTGGTTGTACGGCTGTGGTTGACAGATGAACGGCGGCAGCGACCCCCAGGACGCCGCGTGCGCCGTCGACGGCCTCGGCGAGGCGCGGGCTCCGTCCGCGAGGAGGAGAGGCGACGGGGGGGGGGGATTGTCATGAAGAGGATCATACTGTAGGCTTGCAAACTAATAAAAACAATATAAAACATACTAAAACCATCTCATCTGCATTCTGAAAAGGTGTTAGATATTTAAGAGGTTTACATTAGGCATGCTACTTCGAGCAATTCGAAATGCGCAGTATGCCAGCATTGTGGAGTTCGTACCATGTCAGCCTTAAACCTGGCTCCACGGACGGGGACGCCAATGGAGGCGTGTACCGACGCCGCAAAGAAGAGCCTCCAAAGAAGCTGCTGTGGAGCGGCCAAAGCTCCAAAAGCTTCTCCGTTGGCAAGGGAGGTGCGGGGAGTTGTTTTAAGCAACTTTTTAGACCACTGTCCAGGAATTAGAACAAATTCGGGAAAGTGTATATATATATATGTGTAGAGAGAGAGAGAGACAGGTATCCCTTTTAAGACAGGACCTAACCAGACTCTTAAATATTCTTACCGAAGTTCTATACATGTAATTACTGTATACGGACAACCAACCTAGTCCGTGGCTAATATGCAAGTCTGTTTGGAATGGTTAGCCGACAAACTGTGAGCAGCCATGAGTAGCTCGGAGAACATTTAGAGATTGATTTGTAAGGTCACCGCCAAGGTCAAACTAGGATCCTAATTCACGTGGCTTGTTGGGGGACATCCATGGCCATTTGCCACATTGCCACCATGGCCACGTGAACATCATTTTTTTCCCTCCCAAATCCTCGGGCAAAGCAATCACCCCAGCTACATGTAATCGGTCCATCGGTGAGTTTTTTCCATGTGCACCGCTGCTACAATCAAGGTGAAACGCCAAGTCCTTTCATGTCATCACAACTCTCCTCCAAAAAACACCAGATAACAAACCACTCGTTGAGTCTCCGTCACGTCGCAACCGTTGAGCCAACCTTGCTTGTCCGGTCGTAACGGGCCGTGCCGTGCCGTTGAGGCCGAGCCTTGCCATTGGGGTCGTCGTTGGTGGGGTGTCCACATCGTCAAGCATCGTCAAGCATCGTGTTTTTGCGTGGTAAAAAGAATGGACAAGCGTCGTAAAAATGCTCACACCAAGATCCACATAGCTGTTGACATGTATTGTTTCAATGTCATCACACAAGTGCATCAAGTACATGGAAGTATTTTGTGCGAACGGACATATTCGGATGTTTTTCGTTTGTGTTCACAATCCTCCTGCCTGCCGCTTGGACCGGCCACCATCGTGATGGTCTCCTTTAGAGACAAGCTGATCGGGAAGAGCCCGGTAAAGGAAGTGTGACTAAGAGCTTGCCCGCAAAGACTCCCCTTTGTTGTGATTTGGAGAGTTGAAAGGTATATGCAAACGACGTAACCGACGTAAACATCTTGTTTTAGTCCATCCCATCCGATGACCAACCCATCCGATCACCATCCACCTGGCGCCCCAGGAAACCGTGTTGCGTGGTGTCCAGCTCTTCGACCAGCTCTTCCTCCAGGCCACGCGGCGCGTCCTTCGTTGCGATGGATGGCGCGTCCTTCGGCGCCGAGGGCTGGAGTCACCAAGAGTGGAGTTGTTTGACGCTTCCCTACATGGATCCTGTTGTACCTTCTCAGAAGGTACGACTGGACCCTGCAAGCCTACTTAATAAATAGTCTTCAGTCACCTTCTCAGAAGCTACGTGGATCCCTACAGTTTGTTATATTGTATTTTGTTTCCAACAAGAAGGATTCAGTTCGGCGGCATCAATGAACATGTGTTTGTTTGGTGCAAAGACCGTCATGGATCAGTGCTCTGACTATTTTTCCAGTCGAAGTGGTCCTTTATTGTTGGTTGGGTGGAAGGAATCCTACTTTGTGCCTAGTTTTGAAGCCTTCCTGAGCCATGCATGGCCTTGTTTCATTGGTTGCTTTGACTCATTCATGAATATCCACCCACACGAATGGGTTTTACGATCGGGGTTTTATAGATCAAGAGCTCTATATATAACAATAATTCTCAAGGTCGGACATCAAACCTCCCTTGAGCCGCCCTTTCAGCTCTTCAAGCACCTCCACCTCGAGCCCTCCGCGCTCGCCACCCGTGAGCCGCCCGGAGCCCCTGGATGGGCGACGCGAGGGTCAGGGGAGCATGCGTTGGGAAGTTGACCGTGAGAGTCATGGTGAAAGGCAATACATATGAAACGTATGTAGATATCTTCAGAATTGTATAGACGATGTGACAGAAAAAATGTAGATGTTTCTGTATAAGAGAGAGAGAGAGAGAGAGAGATGAAGAATGCATGGGAGTTTCCCAGCTTATGAGATGTTGCAGGCTTTGCACCTCACCAGGTCCGAAGGCGAAGGCGAAGGCGAAGCGGAAGACGTCGACCACGCAGAACGACGCAGAGAAGATTGAGGAATCGACACGTCCGCGTGGGTCGTCGTGACGTGTTGCCAAAAAGGGTCGGTCTTCGGTTCGGTGTCGCCTGGTGTCGCTCGTTTGGAAGACTCCGGTGACTGTGGCGATGGGGTCTCCCCAAAAGCTGTAGACTCTTGATGAATGACCCCCCACCTCCATTGTGGAACGGCCTCTTCATACGGGGAGGGGTTATTAAGCAAGAGTCTAACATGAACATTTGATGTTCATATACGTTGGATCTATCAGCCTCATCGGACTAAAAAAAAAAACACATCCGGGGGTTTCCCGGCGATGTTTTCGGACATTCGGTATGTCGGCCGGCCATGCAGCTCCCAGATCAGGCAGAGGAACTCCTGGAAGCGCAGCCCATCACCGCGGAATCCGCAGCATTTTATGGCAGTTCCCCAGGTTAAATCAGTAGCTGCGGAGATCTATCCCAGACAATCCATGAAGTGCAGTAGCTAACTACATGTTCATGGTTTGGGCGATCTCAGATGGAGAATTCGTGTGAAACTTCGGGGCTGCAGAGGTCGTGGAAGCTGGCCTCCGTGTTTCTTTCCTTTAAACCTTGCCTCCGTGCTGACTGAAGACTCGCGTTGTCCCTCCTTGATTTCTCTCGTTGAAAGGGAGCTGCTGGAGCATGGAACATTGGGAGGGTGACCGAGGACAACACCGTCTTGAGCATGGTGACTTTTTTCACGTGGATGGCTGGACCATTCACGCCAAGAATTACACATCCCACTTCCAGTGGTGGCCTCTCCACCAAGTATGATTCAGGTTTTTAAAATCTATATATTTGTTTTTCGCCTGTTTCGCGGATGGACGCCGCAGATTTCCACCGTGGCCAGGAGCTTCGCTTTGACTTGCAGGCGTCACCGACGCGTCACCGCGTCGCGGAGCTTCATCACTGGCGTCTCATCTCGTTTCGGATTTTTCGGAGGTTCGAAGGTACGTCTGGGCCCCCCCAAGTTTGGTTCATATGGACCCCGGCCCCATCTAAAGGATATCTTGGGGTCTGTACCACTCTGAAATTGGGCAATCAGCTGGAGTAAAAACAGTCTCAGCCAGTGTTTGGGCCTGAAAGGATGGCTGAAGCATGACCCAGCCATACATATCTTAAGGGCACTTAGACCATTCTCGTACATTGGTGTTTTTTCTTTAAAGACAATTAGATCCAATGATCACTCATGATCACTCGTGGCACCTGATCACCTTGGCACCATGCTCCAGTTATTTGTTCAGGTCACATGCGTGGAAAAGAAGCCACACTGGCTCCATCTTTGGCGATGTTCGTCATTCGCCCTTCGATCCCATGTGCATCCAACGAACCCACCGGTCGACCACACGGCGATCGAGGCGATCCGCCTGGCGGCCATGGCGGATCACCCCAAGGCACCGACCCAACGGGTGGTCCAAGCAGAGTCTTTGCGTCTGAAAAAGGTGTCCGGTGGGTGATTGGTGATGTTTTCTGGTTTTTCCTGCAAGCCTTTTTGGAGAGGAGGGAATTGGGACCATGCGGTCTTTGGAATCTCTTGTGTCTTTAAACAGTCAACATGAGGAAGAAGCTAGATTAAGCATTCCGAACGCAGCACAATGTATTATCATGTATTTATCGCAGACACATGCAACCTTTTGATTGGCTCGGTCGTGTTACTGAACCCACCCCATGCCTTTGACCCACCGACCCATGTCCGTCCCGGCCGAGCCGAGGCCCTGGCCACCTTACTGGAACTTGAGACGCTGGAGCAACAGGGGAGGCGTGGGTCCAAAGCGCCGGGCGCGGTCCGGTCCGGCTCGGAGTGGTTCGGGCGAGGTGAAGAGTGGCACAGCTGGGCCCTCATGATGTCTATTAGATGGGGTTCGTGTGTATAGACGACCTTTTGGGGATTGGGCCATCTACTCTCAATCCACCATAGTACTATAATACTTGTGATATGTATTATATGTAGACCCTCCAAAGCTGCAGAGTTTTCTACCAGTCACACCAAAATGGACGGTTTGCAGGCAAAGCATCCAAGCCACCAACTCGTTCCTGAAGCGTCCCTATAGTCGCGACTCCCGATTGCTTGGTACCATTCCATTCATTCAGATCGTTGCCTGTTCGTGCGAAAACCTGACCAAAGGTTTCGGTTTCGGTTCTGAGGCCGCTTCTTTCATCAGCAAACCATCCACGTTTTTTTTGACAGGTTGAGGATGGTCCATGTTTTGTACCTTTGGATGGTCTCTGAAGGTACCATTTGGAGGGTCACAGCTGAAGGACATCCGATGGCAAAAACATCAACCTGCATGCTTTGGGGGATGGTGAAATTGACCTTCCGATTGACATTGACCATTCCTATAGTATGGAACTGCGAATAGGAAGGAACATATTAAAAACCTATTCCTATACAGTATGGAAGACCTATATATCATATTTATATCTACCTTTTCCTGGTCTTTGTGTCCGATCCGCGATCGCCGATCCTCGAGTCGAGTCGAAATCGCGTCGCCCACGTCGCAGGATCGCGCCCAAAGAGCGTCGCAGGAGCGGTGGGGGTGGGTCTGGTTTCAGAACAGATGGCGCCCCAAGACCCCTAAGAGGATGTTTAGATGGAGATTTAGATGGGGTCCATAATACACCGAACTTGGGGGGAGTGTGCTGAGACATGGTGCCATCTACTCTGAAACCTGTTGATGCTCAACATTGTTCAATCTTGACATGGGATAATTGATCCATATTGATCCCACTGACACCTTTGTTCAAGTGAGTTAAAACATGTTGAAGCTATATACCAACCATGAGTGCTTTTGGAGGGATTGGTTTTGTTGGCCTTCGGATCTGTTTTGGTTTTGCTGATTGGTCGAATGCTGTCCTGTACAAACACGACATGTTGTTGTTGCATTATGTGTATCCTGTTTGCGTGGAGTATGTGTTGCTTCTATTGTCCGCGGAAATCCAAGATTAGGTAATTAGGTAGATGTCATTGATGCTAATATTGTAATCTGTTATTGGTGGGTGATAAGTGGTAGGTGCATGGTTATGGTTGGTGTTTGTTGGTTGCTTCTTGATTGGTTGTTCAAGACTGTTGGTGGCTGGTCGCTTCGTGGCTTGTTTTATTTTGCTTCTATGGTTTTGATGATGATGATGATGATGATGATGGTGATGATGATGGCGTGTAATAAGTTTGTACTGCAACGACCATGAGCAGGGGAAGTGACAGGCAGGGGGGGGGGTTGCAACGTTTCTATCAGAACCCATCAACATGCTCGCCTTACCGATGGACTGTGGTAACAGATGGCAACCTAATATTAAATCTAATAGCAACCTGGGTACTAGTACTGGGCACTTGCCTTAAGTCATATCTTATCACCAGGAGTCGTATCAATCAGCTATGGCCATGCAGTGATGCAACTTTCAGATGCGACTTAGCGGCGGCCGCTCGTAGGAGTTTTCATTGGGTGCCCAATTTATTCATCGCGTAGCACCCGTTTCGAACCGCTTCCACTGTGTCCTGTCGCCCAGGCTGCTGACGGAGCTGAATCGTGCATGGTGGCGGCGGGAGGCACAGATGCGAAGTGGGTGGTGTGGTAGCATACATGGAGTCTTTGGGAAACGGAATCACAAATAGATTTGGCACTGAGCGTGGGTAGCCATCGTTCAGCACTGAGAGTAACGCCTTGCTGTTCTCCTAAATTGGAAATGGTCCTGCTGGCATTCACTGGAACTATTTCGTGCCCCTGCCTTTAACATCCTTTAAGCTGACCCGCGCAAGGTGCATGGCAATGTGGCCTTTAAGGCTGCCAAGCTGCTGCTGCAGTACGGGGCGCCCAGGTTTGTGCAGTTGTTTGTAATGTTTCTTGATTGCAAGAAGTGTCTATGGTTCTGACGAATGTGGGGCCAGGAAAGAGAACCGTGTTTTCACTGCAGAATAGGTCCTGCCAGACTCTCATTGGACTTCACGCGTTCTCTGAAGTGCTTCTCTTGAACCCTTTCGCTCCGTTGATCCGTCCACTCGGCCGTTGGTCAGCTCTACTCCGGACCGGTCGGCACCGGACCCGGACGGGGCCTCCGGGCCCGCCGTCCGCGCCGCCGATGTCCTTCGGTCCGTTGGACAGTTCGGGGCCCATGGGCCGACCGTCGCCCTATGGGCCGCCGGACATGGAGGGCGCCAACCCACGGCCGGGACCTCCGCCGGGGGGGCCCGGACCCCCTGGACCTGGTGGACCTTCAGGAGCTGGAGATGGGAGGGCAGATGGCATTGAAGGGTAGGTCCTACATGGTGGTTGGACGGTACATGGTTTGTCATGGTGTCCTTTAATGCACGCCTGTTTCATCGAAGCGAGTGTTCCAAATCCGATGTGTGAAAACACTGCGGACATTGGCCCCAGTTCGGAAGGATGGCTAATGGATGGTTGTCAGATGTCAGCATAAAAGCGAGTGGCCTGACCCTGGTGGGAAACGAATTAGAAGGGGAAGTCCCCACACAGAATTTGATCATTTGACCAGAGTCTATGGTGTGGGTCGCCCGGCCCCCCTTGGTTTGTTTTTGCCGGCCAGGGCCAGGGGGTTGTGTCTCCCATGGCCAGGCCTAGTGCTGTGCCAGACATCTACCAGCATGGCCCTCCCAGCAGTCTTCAGCAATCAGATTGCAGTCAAAATTAGATCCCAGCCAGATCCCAGGTGTGAATCTTGTTTTTCACCAAGGAGGATGTGTTCGTTTCAGACCTGTTTCGACGGTGGTCGGACGGTCAGACCGGGTCGCATGAGGAATCCTCTGTTCTCAGCTGTAGTTGAAGTGGATGAGGCATGATTAGGATCATCAGCAGTAGCAGACAAAGTGAACAGAGTAATTAGGTTCCATCAGGCAGTGAGATAATGCCCCAACTCAGGGTGGTCCATTTGCTAAGATTGAAGTTGGTATTGTTGGAGAAGTGTGACTTGGAGTCAGCTTGTTTGAGAAGAGGGGCATTGCCACATCCAGTGAATCACAAAAACGTCTCCAACCTCAGAAGGTAACTTCCCGTAAGTCAGCTTTAGTTCAAACCTGCTGCCTTCAGGACAGGTCTGTCAGTTCTTCTCCAAGTCTGGCTGGTGCAAGTGGGGTGAGGGCTGTCGCCACGCGCATGTGGCGGGACCAGACACTCCCAGCAACAGCGGGCCCATCGGTCCCAAGACAGGTGAAGTTTGTCAGTTCTTCGCAAAGAGTGGATGGTGTCGGTATGGAGTCTTGACTGAATTGGCTTTGGTCTTTGCACAGATTTTGCGAACATGCATCACTGAAGTTCCCCAGTTGGGGTATGGGCTTGGGGTGGTTGAAGATGAGTCATGTTGGATCTTGATTGGTCAAGAGGGTCCTCCCTCCCCTTGAACAACTGCAGGATTGTCAATACTGAAATCCGGTGCTGAACAAAAGGATCCAGAGTCCAAGATAAATAGTAACAATATGTAACAATCATAGTAAAGTCAATAAGATCCTGATGCAGTGGTTCGTCCGATACTCTTATGGAAGGGTGGCACCTCCTGAACGAAATGAATCTATAATATATAAATATATTACATTACATTACAAAAATCATATATATGTATATATATTACATTACATAAGTATAAAGATAAATATAAATATAAATACATAATATGCATGAGACAATTATGTTGGGCAATATGCTGATTGTTTTGATAAAGACTGTTGATGAAAGGGGTAAGCTCAAAAAACTTAATACTAAAGACTGGTGTAGGACACCGGAAACAAGTAGAACGCATCGGAACCTCAGTGGTAGAGTTGGAACCTTACATGGTTCCATAAAACAATGTTTATTTGGAAAGTTCCCTCATAAAATATGCTGGTACGGTACAGCTTTTAAAGGAAGTCCAATAGACAGGAATCAGCCTAGGGAGAAAGGAACTAAACAAATGAACAGAAACGTTTCCAACATGTGTCACAATGGCAATTCCATACCATTTTATAGTCTCAAGTTTCCACCTCTCCACATGACCTCCGGGTGAAGTGGTAGCTCACCCCCTCTTCATGATGCGACGTCAATACATATCTAGGGAGAGACCTGTTTGACAGGTGGGCTCTCTGAGAGCTATGTCAAGAGACCTACCACCTCTCCTCATGACCCAAGGATGAAAACTTGGGGTGATCAGTAAGCCAGACATTTGCTGCCAGCGACATGAGATCGCTTTGGTTCACCAACATCAGTTTCTACCACTCAAAGCAAGACATGTGAAAAAAAACAACTGCTTCAATATGCTTCAATTCTAGGTGAGTCCAATTTCTCAGTCCACTTTCCACCTCATGGAGCGTGTTGTGTGTCTTGTGGAGCGTGTCGTGTGTCCCCGATCACAGTCACGTCCTCGACGATGGCAGTTCTTTTTCGGGGCGTCCGAAAGAAAGAGCGTCCTATGTATCCTGTGTTTATACGTACGTCTAAAGTACGCTCCAAAAACAGACCACCGTCAGCGGAGAAGATAGACCGACATTGTGGACCACGTGGACAGTGTCAATGACAGGCATCGACCACTGAGTTTTGCCAACAACTTGGGTTTTCAGCAGTCCCCTGAGACGTAAGTAGCCACTCTTAAGTCACGCTGTAAGTAGCGCTCCGGCTTCCTCGTCTCCTGAGGCGACTCCTGCCGGCACGAGCACATCGCGGGCTTGAGCGACCCCTCGCCCAGCGAACCCTGTAAGTTCTTTTCCAAGGCTGGCTGGTGCCAATATGGCGAGAACTGCAGGTATCAGCACGCCGCTCGTCGAACTGCATGCGTCGCAGGGTGGAGGGTGGAGGGTGCGGATCCGTGGCATGATTGTGGTGGCGGTGGTGGCGGTGCTGGATTCGATTGGAGGGACGATTGGAATGTTTTGAATAGATTTTTATTTTTTTCGGAAACAGATGTATCATGATACAAAATGATACAGATACATCTACAGTAATAAAAGCATCCACACACAGAGAGGCACAGCGGTATCCAAAGCACTGTCAAAGCACCCAGATTAGTATGGGCCCTTACCGTACAAACATGCATTTTTGATAATTTTTGGTTCCCGCCAGACACCTCCAAATTCAGGAGATGTTCATCAATGTTTCCCAATTTTGGCAAGTGGGAGTCGAACACAGATTCTGCGTTCAGCACATCAAGTCGCGCAGCGTTGCTCATCGTCCCAGGTTCCTGGTCCTGACACACCCATGAGCGGCTGTGGTGGCTGTGGGCCCATGGGCGGCTGTGGGCCCATGGGCGGCTGTGGGCCTATGGGCGGCTGTGGGCCTATGGGCGGACCCAAGGGCGGCTTGGACCCAGATGGTGCTGAAAGATACATGAATGGTCCATATTTTGGTCCCCGTTCTGGATAAGATGCTGGTAGACTCTTGAACCAGGTGGGAGCACGTGAGGTTGGGGGAGCAAACAAGTATCAGACTCATTGCGAGGTTTTCGGAACTGCAATTGTTCAGTTTTAGTCTATAGAGGGAAAGCCAGGATATCAGTGAGTTGTCAGCTGTGAGTTCTTGGGCACCACTCCAGCAACTGTCTTTTTTGGCCTTCGAAGCACGCCAGAGGCGCCAGAGGTGCCCGCGTCTCATAGACGAATACTTCAGCACCTTCCAAGATATTGGGGGACTTATGGTTCTCATCCACAAGTGCTCGTGGATCCTAGTGGCCAGCGGTTTACTTTGGACGGTGTAGCAATTTCCCAGACCATTCATGAGATTTACCCCAATTATTAATGACATTTTATGTCCCCAAAGTGACCCCAAAGCAACTGTTTGTGGATGGTTTGGATTTCCTGTCCACCAAAAGAAGCCTATAGGCATCCATGAAGTCCACCAGCCTTGGCAGTCGGACCAGAAATGAAAGGAAACAAAGGAATGAGGGATTTTTCTGTCAGTTCCTGCGGGCAACCTGTCCATCCATGCTTTCCTTGGCAACGGGGTCACTGAAATCTGCACTTGGCACTTGGCGAATCCGCTCCCCTTTGCGGGTTGCACCTGCGCAGGTGGTGGTCCGAAAGGTGGCTGCGGCCCCAAAGGTGGCTGTGGCAAAGGACCTGGAGGACCCGGATATTATGACGACTACGGCGGCAATGGCTGGGGGGGACCCGGAAGTGGACCCGGACCTGCGGGACAGAAGGAAGGCGAGCCATGCCAGTTCTGGAGCAAGAACGGCTGGTGCAAGCAACTCGTTGAGCTTTGATGGCTGCTGATTCACAATTCTAGAACAAAACAACCGTTTGCTATCCGTTTGCTTTGTTTTCATATTGCACATCAAGTCTATACTTTTGTTTGCACAGTATTTCAGATGGTGAGTTTTGGACAGCGGGCCAATTCTGTCAAGGAATCCGTCCCCTTCATCCGGCTCAGGTACGAGGACAACTGCAAATACGCCCACAGCGGCGGTCCTTCCCCCGGCTTCACGGCGAACGTGAACCCGCCGCCGCCGCCGGAGAAGCGGGAGTTGACGGCGCAGGAGGAGGAGACGGCTGCAGAGGCTTTGCTGAGCACCCCTGGCATGGCCAAGGCGCTGCTGAGCAGGGGTTGGGGACGGGATGAGAGAGACGAATTTGCCAGTGACAGCGGGTTCGAAACACCATTAAAGGCATCATCATCCAAGACACCCTGAGAAATTCTGAGAATCCCACTGCGTGACATATTGACGCCTCGTAAGTGGGTGATATTGGGTGAAAGTCTTCAACGATCATTTAGCTGCCATTCGCCCAGTCTATAGGTTGTTAAAGGAATGACACGTTGCTTTGTTTACAGAAAAAAAAGGACGCAAACCCACATCCCGAACCTCCCACGTTCTCCGACCGGAGACGTCCGTCCGTCCGTCCGAGACAGGCGGAGGGCGTGGGGCTCATCCTCTCGGAGGACGCGATCCGCGCGGTGCTGGGGATCCCCACGATGCACGCCTCGGAGCTGCTCGCGCCTCGGAGCGGCGCTGCCGGGAGCGGCACGGACCGGTGGAGAGGACTGGGGAGTGAGTGGGCTGGACCGGTGAAGTGGTGAAGGCCTGAGAAGGAAGTGTTCGGATGGGAAGAATTACATGTATTTCATGTTAACATACATATGATTTACTCCCATTGAACATCACATAAAAGGACATAATGTAATTGACTATTCCACATACTACACGGTCCTGAATGGGGGCGTGGTGACACCGCGACCATGCTCTTTTTGCGCCTCCTGCGGCACGAACACATGCGCTGGAGTACACACAGCACGAACACTTGCGAGCGCAAGGCCAACTCCAGAAGGATAAGGACACCCACTAATATCATTGCCACCCCTTTTGACCATGAAAACCGGGGGGGAGGGGGAGGTGAAATGTGGACTAATACCCACAATCCCCCAAGACCTTGAAAAGTCCTTACATCCACAAAGCACAGGGGGGCCAGTTGCGGTGGTTTCGTCCTTCGTACGTCGAGTTCAACGGAAACGAACAAAGGAAAGCGTGTCGGGCAAAGTGGACAGCCTACGAGATCCGTCCAACTACATCGTCTCCACCATCAACAAAGGCTTTGTTCCCAAGCAGCAGTACTAGTTCCAACCACTGAGGGAACTCATCGAAACTGAGCCTTGAGAAGCTCGATGTAGAAGTGGTAGAAGCATTTGCAGCTTCGTGTCACTTCGAACGAATCCATGCCGTGACCGTCCAAAGGGCGCCCTTTGTAGACCAAACGACTGGCGACCAAAAGCGGCGCCAGACGTGGATGCTGAGTATGAATTCAAGTGGACTCACGGATCGTGTTAAAGCCCCCCCATTCTGATTGAAGAACCTCTTATGGCGTGAAACACCTTTTGATACGGAGGGGTCTATCAATCAAGAGTCTATGTGTGTATATATATAATACAAATTTTGTGTTTGCAATATAATTTTAATTCTATGGATCTTTATGGATTGCTCCACGCTGATGGTCTTGCTTCATTCCGCGAAAGACGGTGGATTGACAAGCTGAAGTTTGTTACTTCCCGATTTGACCAGGTTGGGTCTCAGCCCTTGAGGAAAGTGAACATGGAACAGCAATCCAATACCCCCCCCGCAGACAAACATGGAGGACCCAGAGCATTCATCCGTAGAAGAGGTGATGCCACACCTGTTCGTGATGCCCCTGAGGTGGATGAAGCTGCAGACCTGAGGTCGCCGCCCCTTCCCGCGGCCAGCGTCCAGCTGCAGCTGGTGTTGAGTTTTAGATCGGAAGATGTTGACCTCACTGAATGGCCACCGATTGGGATCGTGCGTCGGCGAACGAGGTTGCTCCATCAGCGTCGCCTGGCCGAGGTTGCTGCCGTACGAGGTTGCTCCATTGCATAACGTGTGGTGTTTGGTTTGCTTTGATGATGGACTTATGAGATCTTATGATCTATCAAAGGGTACAGAATTCATGGTTTTGTTGTAAACGAACTACTGAAAAGAAAAAAAGGGTGTTTCCAGTCCTCCGGAGCCGGGTTTTGAGGGCGACATGAGGTTTCAGGACTGCGCCAGGAAGAAGGACATGGTGTTTCAAGGGCCAAGAAGCATGAGTCGAAGTCCCAAGCTGATCTGTAGATGGAGTTTGTGGGTCATGGTAGATGGATGCAGATGGACAACAATGCCCCACCACCTTACTGTAGAAATCTAGAATTTACAAAAGACCACATGGTAAATACAAAGCGATGTCATGTCGATCCATGATGGCCAACGGAAAGTTTCGTTTGGGACACCTGACCACAGAGTGGCTGGGGACGTCCAAGTTGAAACAGCCTGCAGTATCCATCCGTCAATGCAGCTACAGCATGAATAGACATGATTTCTGTGATCTTCTGCGAGGTACCCAGTAGGTACTGTATAGCATCATCATCCCTTTTGCAGATATCGAATGGCTGACACGCCACACGCTTGCTGACACGCCATACGCCTTTCGTTTGAAAGTTTTCTCCGACACTAAGTGATGGAAGTAGAAAGCCTTTAGGAAGACGATGCGAATTACCAAACAGGGTGGTGGTGCCATCCACTTGATTAGGTCAGGGATAGTTCCAAGTGTAGGTGGGATACTCCCAAGCCCTTTTTTATAAGAAACCAGTTGAAACAATAGGACGGGCACGTTCCAAAGACCATGCTCGATCCATCTGAGGAAGTTGTTTGGACTCCACTAGTTCATAGCCAGTGGTTTGGACATAGCATGAGGTACAGTAAATTGAAGAGGTTTAAAAACATGTTTGTTTATCTCATTCTATGTATGTATATATATACACGGTATATCACACATACATGTCTATTTGGTCCAGCAAAGTAGTAGCTTCACAGCTTCACCTCATCCCTTGGTAGGTCCATGTATGTGCAGATGCGTTCGAAGCCACGCTGTGCAGATGGCTCTCCGCACTGACTCGGTTGGGGAGTCGGTGTGTGGGCATAATTCGTGCCGCACCAGGATGTCCCAGAAGATCCAAAAACCATGTCCAGGATAGAAACGCATCATGAATCTGGGGCATGTGCCAGCTGCCTGGTGAAAGAGGAGATCGCTTAGATAACTGTTTGTTTGGATCAAAGCAAGGCCAAAACCAAGGTGAACAAATAGGTGAAAACACGGTTTGAAGAGACTTCTTTCCGTTTGTTGTTAATCGAGCACTAAGGGATGCCTTGTTCTGAGCTAAAGCGACAGGGGCAGATGCCTTTCCAAGGCTTGGCTTGACTTTCAGGGTTCCAGACCATCCACGTAGGGAATAGTGACCTACATGATCCTACATGGATTTGTCATGATGGGTCATGAATGGGGTAACATGAGGGTCATTTTCATAGGGTAAATGGATGGTCTGGGTTTGAAAGAAGCGACTGAAGCCGCTTCGGCTACGACAGCCACATTCCACGGATGCCACAGCTCAAGCAGGGAACTATCAGCCAAAAGACAAGCCAAACGGAAACCCCAAACCACACGTCGAATGCTTGGTTCCCCAGTGCCCCAGCAGTTTCAATGTACCCCAAACCCAACAAATCCAACAACCCCGACAACTGCTGTTTCCATGTTTTTACTTCGTTGAGACTCATCCTGTTGAGAACTGCTCAAATTGCACCATTTGGTGGCAAAGAACTGGGATATAACTTTGGTTGCTCCATGTTTAGTAAAGAACCAGTTTTTGGGACTTGAGAGGGAGAGGTCGCAGGTAGCGAGGCAAGGTGGAGGCCCGAAAGACGAAGCAAGGATTGATTCCCGGCACTGGTCAAGAATATTTTCACTGGAGATCCTTTGGCGTGTTTGACAAACCAGTTGTGCCAAGTAAACCAGCTCTTGCTCAGATGTGGTTTTGCCATGCATGCACGTTCCTTTAAACCTGAAAGCGGTGTTATCGCCCCTGTGGCGATGGAAACAGGACCAGTCAGCCCACGGAAACCACTTCCCGTCCACGGAAACCAGCACTGCCACTTCCATCACCATCGCCGTTTTGTGTTCATCGGACAGTTCCCACAGTGGGGGGGGGGGGAAAGCCCACGATGGAGACTCCGGACCGCGGTGGAGACTCCGGATGGGCGGTCTGGGTGTTTCACCATCGGTGCAGAACAGCGGTGTAAATGGTGGGTAAATGCAGGTAACTATTGGGGTTAAATGGGGTAAATATATAGAGCTGAAGAATAGTGAAAGAACAAACAAAAGCGGTAGTAGTAACTTGACTTTAGTATAGTTACCTTCATCGGGTATTTCGTTATGTAGATAACTGTACGCGAAATCCGAGTGAAACCCCTTCGACAGGGGTGCTCCGACCTGCCATAAAGAAACAGGTCGGAAGGCCACCCCCCTGTTGAAACTCTTGGTGAATTTGTTGATTGATCGTTTTAAATGGAACCTACAATAGAATGCTTGATCCTGTTTTAGCTTCGTGCGCTGGTTGTTCGGCGTAGTGGTCCAGACCAACCATCCCAGTCAGACCAGATGTTTGTGTCACTCAGTGGAATTCACCCAATTACTTGTTGGTAATCTGATTGGAAGCCATGTTGGTACTTTTTAGACATGTTCATCCATTTTAATCCGATGCTTGCAATGCTTTCCGTTGGATTGGACATTGGCTGTGTGTTTGTGTGGAATAGAAACTGTCCAGGAAAACTTCCTGACTTGGGGCACTGTATGACTTTTGACACGTCAGTTGCAAGTCCAACCCAGTGGAATCAGACGGAATGGGTACTAATCAGACGGTGCTGAACGGAAGGAAGAAACCAACAGAGTCGACCCGAGTCGACCCGTATGACATGACCCACAGACACCCATTGGCCATCTCTGCAGCGTTTTCAAGCTTAAGATCTTCCAGACAATCCGGAAGGCAAGTCATCGACCTCCATGAAGCCTCCAGGTATATTGTTCTGGCCATGAGCAAATTGAAAACGATAGCATCAAAGAGGCCATGTTCAGCTGATGGATCTCATCAGGATCTCATCGGTGAGAGAGAATCAAGACATGTCTCAATTCATGCAGAGGAGATTTGAGGAGATCCAATCTCATTTTGTTCATGTTGATGTGTTTTTGCCATGATTCACCCAGCAGATTCACCAACTAATAACCTGTGGACTACAGAGACGCTGATGGCATTGGTGGTCCCTCTCCACCTGTCCTCGCCTGAGGGGGATGAGGTCCTCGCTACCTGCTTTCGACAGGAAGAAGCAGTTGATCCACATACAGACAAGACAGACAGGACCAGAATGATTTTTGGTCAGTTCATGATACTTGGAACAGTTCTTTGCATCTGAAGCAGTCATAAGGCCCTAGGCGTACAGTAATTGATTGAGGAAGGGTGAACATGCTTCTGTACAGCAAGGGGGTTCAACAGCCCTGGACTTTTCTGAAACTTCTTTAAGCACCCATCGGTCGGAGTCTTGAGTCGCATTCAGATTCAGGAAGATACTATTGGACCCTATTCATTTCGTTGGGTTCATGTTGCCATCACTTTACCTCAGAAGCGAAGAAACCGAGGAGACGAGATGTGGAATCCCCGACTTTCCACATGGGGAGTTTGAAGTGCAGATCAGAATGGAGGCAGTTCTCAGCAGGAACACGCGAAGGTCTAAGGAAAGGAGAGGGGATCTTGGGAGGACATGATCGCAGTGACAAAGGATCTCAGGCTGATCTCACTGATCTCAAGATATGGTGCAAGAAGAAAGGGAGCGAGCGGAAAAGCCATGGAAGCTGGCCAAGGCTTGCTCTTGAGCTACTTCAGCGTATAGGCACGAACAAGGTCGAATGATTGTGATGGTGAATCCGCAGGTGAAGACGCACAGGACAGGAGGTCGCAGAAGAAGTTTTTTGACTTGATCTCTTATGTCCACCGTCTATCGATTTGACCAATGACCTTCTGGAAACGGATGGTTCAGGCAAGCAGAACTTGTAGACCCTGCTCGATTACGGCTTTTGGTGGAGGGGAATTGAACTACGACCACATGAGGTGTTCGGCATCCGGTCTGAAGACAACCTTTTTGCTTTCCGGTTTGAGCAGATCGAAACATAGCTGGTTTGGCACCATCAGTAATGGTTGACCGGACCATGTACCTTGGATTGGGATCGCAAATGAAGTTAACAAGCCTTCCTTACTTTTAACAATGCTTGAAGTCATCCCATTCTGAACACTTTCCTCCACTGGATTTCCACATGTCCCAACATTTGGTCAAGAGCTACTGGTGCCCAGGGTGTAGGACACCCCCACAGTCCCTGTGACCTGCGGCCTCCACGAACGTTGGTGGATCCCAAACGGAACCAAGGAGATGTTGCCTAGACTGGATTTGCACGGAGGCCGAGGGCTACCTGAGAAGGACCGAGGGCTACCAGCGAAGTTGGGGTCAGGTGACTTTCCACCTGGGTTTGAGATGGACTTGAATGGGGAAAGCCCGTTCCCCAGCAAGGTTGGGGCTTGGGAAGGTGCATCAAACTGTCACTGCACCAGCTTGTCGTGGCGCTTTGATAGCGCGCTGTTGACTGAGCCACAACCACTGAGTTTGGACGAAGAAGAACCACGGCAGGTGTGAATGGACATGCAGAAATCGTGCCAATGGGTGTCCGTATGGATTGGTCGGGTCAATTCATGTCCATGTTTTGAAGGAATGTGACATGTTACATGATAGTTGATCATCCGCCAGACACTGTGATTATGTTTGTATGAGCTTGGGCTGATACGTCACCTGAGCTGGAGAACAATGTGGGACTGTGCTTGACAGCCTCCAAGGCAATCGAATCTCAGGTATTTGGTGTACCCAGGCCTCCTTTTCGTGCTTGGTAGTGTTGCACACTTAGTTCTGAAAGGGACTAGAGGTTCCTACTTAGAGATTCCTTGAAAGATAAAAGGGTCTCCGCCAACCCCACAAGCAGACCAAAGGAAAATCAGACTCAAACACCTTCAGCTGCCCACAGGGCAACCTGGATCGACTTGGTTTCACCCAAATGGTGTTGGTCGACGGCTGAAGACTTGCAGGACACCAAAGTGGGGAACACTGGCGAGGCCCGGGGCTTGTGGTCGGGGAGGCTGGATCGATGAGGAAGTCAGCTGACCCTAAAACATCGTGCTGATCATCATCCATCATCCATAGTGTCCCTCCAAAAAATACCCTGTACGCCAATGAGGTACACCATGAAAAACACCATTCATTCCAATGAAACTTCATGGCTCTTGAACGACCCAACCCGCTGAAGCCCATCTTCAACCTCAAACACCTGACCACCTCGATGGCCGCTCCAGGCCGTGGTGACGCTGCCGCGGCTGCGTTTGCTGCGCCAGGTGGGCCCGGTAGATGGAGATGTCGACCGTGGGTGTTAAAATAGCGAGAGCTCCCAGGCCACGGTGTTTTCGGAAGCTGAAGGGACATAGAACCAGCCAGTCTTCGCAAAGGAGATCCTCCCTATTCTAAGAATACACATCCACGTCGAATCCGTGCCGTTTTGTGCGTGAAATGGATCCATGGCCAATATAATGATTGCTCCTGGAAGACATATCATTTCCCGCTTGCCACCCCCATGATTTTCAAACATCTCCCTCTTATCGTCAAGTCTGGGTCTGCAACTGGGCCAACTGGTGCTGCATCTCCAGGTCACTAGCCGGGATGAAGCACGGGAAGCTCGCCGTTGGGCCCTGGTGGACAGTTTGGGGTGTGGAAGGGTTTTGTGCTTTTGGGGGCCATTGTATTGATTTACACCTGCAGCTGGAGCCTACCTGCTTCCTTTTTTCACAAAATTGATCAGTCCCTGTTCTGCATGGCATGCCATGCATGATGCTTCTCCGAAGCAGCGAGTGCGGTGACCGGCGCTAGGAGCATAGTAGGAGCACTGTGCGATCAGATCCTTGACACAAAGAGTATGCTCTTATATATTTACGTATTCATATTATATATGATATATATTAAATACTACATATTCATATATAGAGCATCTACATATATCCACTCTCCTCCCAGCTCTCGACTTTCCGCTTGAGGCCACCATGTCTCGCCCCGCAGCCCCAGCTCGGAGGCGAAGGTGACTGGTCGACTCGAAGCCGATGAAGTCGGGGTGTCACATGTCGGGGTGGTGTTTGGTCCCATCCAGTGAGTGGAGTAGCTGGGCACCCCAACTACCTCCGTTCGTTCGGCACCCCTACCTATGTGACTCCTGGCCTCCTGGCTGTAAGCTTTTCCCTGTGGGTGAGTCTTCTGGGCATGGGGAAGGGCTAGTATCAATTGAATTATGCAAGTGATGTCAATCGGCTTGATATGCATTAGTTACATCAAGAAGCATGTTTAAGTTTACACAATTCTCAAGCACACTGAAGAACTCAAGGTTCTAAACATGTTTTGGTTGAGAATTTCGCAGATTTGTTTTGCTAGCATCAAACATCCGGGGTGGATTTCCATCCAGCATGATTGGTTGTTAGGGCAAGCAAGGCTGCCTGTGTTTGTGCCTGTGTCATGCAGTGCGTTTTTTTTTCACAAGTTATGAGCCACTTGCCAATGTGTTTTTCCCAAGAACCCTTTGTAGTATAGTAGGGTTTTCTCCTCGATCTCAATAGGTCTGCTTGATTCTGGATGTTCACCCAAAGCACTTCGTGCCCCGGGGCAACAAAGGGTGCGGGTGTGAGCATTTTTCAAAAGGGACCCACCAATGGCAGGTCTTTCAGTCTTGGGTGATCCTGGAGTTTTTGCCCAAACAGTGTGGTCAGTGGTCACACTAGGGGTTCTTCAGGTAGTTGTCAAGGCTGGGTTCTTTGGCCGGGATAATTTTCAGCATCGGAAACCAGAAGGTACTGAAATTGTTGTCCGATGACGAAGATCAGATCATGCCCACTTGCTCCGCCAGTGGCAGTTGTGGCAGTTAGCCATGCGCCCGTTGCAGGCACCCCGTGCCCCGGCCAGAGGGCGGGGGATGGTGCGCCCAGGCCGAGACAAGGCTGGGCCACGGGTGAGGGGGTTCCGTGGTGAACAGCAATGGTTTTTCAGACGTGATCATGTATTTGTTATGCATATGGGGAGGCTCCATCACGTGTGAATTGGGACAACAGTTCGGTTGGCTCGCCGATGTAGATTTGTCTTCAAAACAACACCAAAGGATCCCAAAGTATTGGCTTGTCCGAGCGCATCTTGCATACCGCAAGAGCCCTCCAGGCTGGAGTTGCTCAACCAACACCTGTGCGATGCAGGTCTTTGTGATTTCCCAACGGAGGGGGTGCAACACTCGAACTGCTGGATGGAATAGGTTGTTTGCCCACTACAAGTCTCCGAATTGGGTTTAGGGTTGTGCGCAGCTGCGACATTTGGCTGCAATACAGTGGGCTCGAAGGAGAAAAGAAGTTGTTTTTTGGCATCCGTAACCAAAGGCGGGGGAACTGGTGGAGTATCGGGTGTAACACATGTTTCACCCCAAAGGATCCCAAAGACCGATGTGTTTAACGTGCCCCACATCAGCTGAGACCTCCAGTGTTCCCAGACGGCCAAGGTGTTCGGGATGATCCTGGCTACGTTGGGAATGGTTCGTCTTCCGTAGCAAAAAGGAGTCTAGATAGATTGCTACGTTGTTTGAGTGCTGATCAATAAGGCACGGCGTTCAAAAAGCCACGAATTTCCCTGATGTGGAATCAGGTCCTTTGATGCCTTGGTGTTCCAGCGTTGTGCGCACTGTCGGGTTGGTCGCGATCCCGCATCCGGCGTTCCCACCAGCTGAGGGCGACGGTTCTGTGACATGGTGGGTCATAACACCCTTGCCCACGCTTCGGGTGTGCTGTCAACCTGCAGCAAACACCAAGAAGGGACATGGGATGACAATATCCTTCATTCGACTCGTGGATTTGGGGGTGCAACCTGCTTTTGAGCTATTCGCCCATCCGATCTTTTCACAACCATTTCCCCTTTCAGGGCCGATCACCTTCTCCAATGCGTCGGCGTATGCCGACTGAGGACGACTGGTCAAAACATCAGTTGAGATTGGGATCAGAGTTCGAGTTTGCAGGGACGTGGAGGTTCCTCCGTTGACGGAAAAGACTTTGCCAGCTTCATGGTAGTTAAGCTCTCTTCAGCAGTCACTTCAGCAGCCCTTGGCCTTTGAATTTTGGAAGAAAAGGGAAGTGGGTGGATATATGTCATAACGAAACCTTGGCCCAGCTTGCCGGGTGGCCGTGCGCACGTGACCACTCCCAATGGTCCCTAGTTTGCCATCGCTCACATCGTTTGCTTCGCTCAATGAACGGGAGGTATGCTCCATGCACTATGCAAACTGATGTCGTTGTATGAGTATAAGCCACAAGTAAAGGCAGGACAACATCCAAAGCACCTACTAAATGCAAAGCTTTCAACAAGGAGGAACCAAGCGCAGGGCCAGCAATAAATGCTAGTAGATGTATATGTTAATGTATGTAGTGTTCGCCTCCCGATTCTGCTCAAGATGTCCATTGCACTTCCTGACTTGTCCTTCACAGGAGCGAAATGGCTATGTGCCTCAGCACGATGCCCAGCAACGTGTTCGGCAGCACATGCGGCAGAAACGACGGTGCTCTCTCCAGAGGGGGGTGACTGAGGGGAACCAGGGGCGTGCGCGCTCCCCATGATGGCCGGTGGGGGGCGGCACCCGGCAGCAGATTGAGCAGTGCGGTTACTGCCCACTGGTATCGCAGAGCAGTATGCTGGCCCTTACGGCTTCGAAATGGAGCATGTCAATTGCATGGTTTATGTCACGTGTTTTTTTTCGCTATGCCATGCTATGCCTAGGTGGTAGGTATGAACATGAGGGTCCAACAGTCACGTCACTGTCATGCATGGAGACTCATTATGAAGTAGATACCATATATCCAAAGACTGGCCCTTTAAAAAGGGGACACACGTGAGTCAATGAAAGAGCTTTAAATTTGTATTTGGTGAACTAGCTGTGCCTCCTTACAGGAGCCTGCGCAAATTCACACGATGCCATTGGAAACAGAAACACCTCCGCGAAAGAGACCCCAAACCGTAGCACATTCTGTGACCTTGCTGAGTACCTACCAGTTGTTTGCTTCACATGGGGAAACGGCCCTAGATGACGCAAGCCCTTCCTCCTGTTTATAAGATCGGAGCGGCGGAGAAGACCATTTTCAAGCGGGTGGCCAGGCGAACGTCGTGGTTTGGGGCAACCCGTGGTAAGTGGATGTAGTCCTAATATGATCCTATATAGGGGTGCCTTTAAAATCTTTAAAAACCCCTGGCATTCCATTCCGTTTCCAATTGGCGCCGCCAGACTGGCAGCTTCCACACCATTTCGGGAACCCGGACAGAAGAAAAGGATCCATGGACCCCCAGGAAGCCGCTTTTGGGCACTTGGCGACTCCGACCGCCTGAAGCGGCCAGGAAGGCGAAAGAGGAGGAGGAGCTGCGAGCGGTCGAGGAGAAGGAACGACAAGAGAGGGTGCAGAAGTCTATGCCGCAGGTAGAGGCTTGGAATGTTCGGTCGGCCGATACCGATTCTGGTGCCGCTTTTGGTGCCTGGCGTGTTTTCTGGCGTGGGGTCAATCAGAAACGTTGCTGGCTGCAGGACGTGCTGTGTTTTTGACTTGGTTGACATTTGTTTGACCTGTTTCTTTTGGAGATGCTACTCGTATGTACTATAATTTTGAAGTGGAATGAACAAAACATGTGTTGTGCTCTTATTGAGTCTAGTGTTGAGTCTATATGATCTATTGTTCGGTTTGATCACCTGGAGATCTTCCAATCGTGCAGCCCAATCCAAGGCCTAAGCAAGGTTGTTTAGAATAAAATTCAATGGGAGTTTCCACAACATCAAAAATGTGCGTTGTGTTTGCTTTGCAAGAGGTGATCCCAAATAAAACCAACGACACGACATGGTGGAAGAACCAGGACCACAGTCTCCTTAACTTATTGATTTTACTCTTTCCACACATTCCATTGGTGAATGTGCCTACATCCATCAGTTCAATCATTTAAGTTAGCTGCATGTTCACTTTCTCTCAACAGCTGATTTTGAATCCATGATCCATCCCACCGAAAGATCATAAAAAAAGTCCCGTGTAGTAAACCACTTACTATGACAGGACCCTCTTCCCCAACTCCTCCCCGGTTTCACGCCATCCACGCCGTTTCAACACTCCGCACAGCCAGCGTTCTTCTCCGGACCGCGCCCGGACGCGGCGCAGGCGTACCGTCGGGAGTTGGCTCGCAAGGCCGCCGAGCTGCACCGCCGGGAGAAGGTCGCGAAGGCGGGGCTGGGGAGGAGTGGAGCGCAGCGGTCCATGTGCTGCGGGGAGGAGATGGAGATGGAGAAGATGTGCAGTGTAAGGCCCGTGATGTCAAGGTTCTCGGACCCACATGTGGAGATGTGTTCTATGGCGCAGGTGGTGTACAGCCCCATATAGCTGCTATAGCTTGAGTGATAGGTCACCAAGTCCAGTCACAACCATCCTGGACTGTCCAAAGTAACTTAGAAAATGGGACATGACCCTATAAAGAACAGGACCTGCAGGACCATTTTCTTATGTACCTCAAGACTCCAGGTGTTTTTTTGATGGGCTTATTGGGGGACGGAATCGAACATCTGTTGCATGCGTGTGTGTGTGGATGCCGCTGACACGTGTGTTTGGGCGGCGTTTGTTCCTCCGGCCGCGCGCGGTCCAAAATTGGTGTCTGAGACATTCCAAGAATCGATTGGCAGGAAACGGCCGCCGTGGAGCAGGCGAGGGGCTGCCCTAGCGGCTCATGTGAATCCAGTGAATCGAAACCTGTGTCCAGACCGGTGACTGGAATATCCAGACAGGTGATTAAAGCCCTGTTCGATGGGGTGGTCGGGAACCGCCGGTGTTCTTCAAAAACAAGACGTTTCAGCGATGTGTTGTTCGTTTTTTAAGCACAGATCGACCGCCAGTTTTCTTTAATGAGATTTGCTGCCAGAACCACACAATCAATGGAGATTTTGTTCCCCAGTTGGTCTAAAATTCTTCGTCCGCCAGTCAATATGCAAGTGTGTATACGTAGCCTACACAGTGACCAACAGTTAACAGTTGGACGAGCATTTGGCGCTTGCCTTCTGTTTCCAGCGATTGGTCTCCACCCGTCGCCCTAGAACTGCCAACCTGCCGTGCCGACCCATCCAACACGTGGAGTTGAACTCCAGGTGTTTGACCTGCATAATCTGTATACGATCAACAGCCACGGTAGAAAGCATCTTTGAAACAATCAGGCTGTTCGGGACTTCCAAATGTCTAAATGCGGAAGCCAGACTTAGCAGTTGTGCAACAAGATTCTTTTGGACGCCTTTCCTGCAGCGGAGAGAATGACAAGGCTGCCGCCGAAGGAGAAGGGTAGGTCAACCTTCCCATACCACTGATTGGAGGTGTCATATGCCAGTCCCGTCCATCGGTTCCAATTGTATCCATTGTTCTGAGGTGAAAAAACATGCAGACGGTCCCTGCACCATCCGTTTGGGCCGTCGGTCTCCCGCGGCAGCGGCGCCCTGCGTTTTCAGGAGCAGTTGGCCTCCGCCCGTCGTGAGCGCGTGAATCGGTGGCCCGGGGTGAGGGGTGAGGGCCGACACGATGTTCCAGAAGCGTGGTGACGTAATGACTATAGTATGATTAATTCACTAAAACATTTTCTAAAGTGGCTACGAGACTTTGTATTTGACAGCCAAAAAGAAAGCCCCCCGTATATGAAGAGGTTGTACCATCGACGTGGGGAGTTATTGTAAGCAAGAGACCCGCCGAAAAGGATGAAAAGGATGTTGTTTGTTTCTGTCACACCCATGCGTCATCGGTACACAGAGGATGCCTTGCAGGACGCAGATGTGTTCAAATGACCTTGTGGCCATTCGGGAAAGCCGCGGCGATGGGACATTATTGAGGTGCCATCGGTGCCATGCAGAAACCGGATCCCATGCAGAGATTGGATGTCCCTGTGTTGAATCAAAGAAAGACCCCCTTGCTGTTCCAGGCATGTATCACATGACTCAGGCATGTTCATTTTTGGGTGAAAGGAGTATCAGCCTGTCGATATTCGTTTCACTTGCCTTTGGACTCCTCAGAGCCGGCAGGTACATCACACCTGATGTCATCAACACACATCTGGGGAGGTACCAAGCGGGCGAGCGGTACGGGGATAACGCAGACATTGATTTGGTATGATTTTGATGTATGCGGTCGACGACGTACTTGGGAATGCCCGGGTCTCTGATATTCCTTTAGTGGAAGCACAAGTAGTTGTTCGGGCATCAAACAGATCATCGACAACATGTTCCTTTTCACTCACCTTTGACAGCAGGCTACGAAAGCCAAACGTTGCGTTCGCATCGTGGAGTGAAGAAACCCCTTAGCCTTAGATGCTCAGTTTCCAGATGTTTTCAAGATTGCAGGATGTTGCATAGATGGTGAGCGAGGGTTTGGGTGCTCCCTCCCAATAGCAGCCAAGATGTCCATCTGGGCCTTCTAGTGGTCCCGCATTGGGGGCTATGAGTGGAAATCCAATGGATGCGCGAACGCGCTGTTCGCTCCACATCGTGTTCACCCCGGCCAGGCTGGACGCTTCCGGCGAGGAGCCGGGGGATGCGAAGGGGGGGGTTGTGAGAAGTAGGTTGCAGAAGTACGAACCTGTCACAGGTTGTGACATGTTCTGATTCTTCTATGTTCAACTAGCTTCAGCAAGAATATCACTTGTGAGTTGGTGGTTGGAAGCACACCGGGAGGTATTCCATGAGTGTGTGTCCATCAGCATTCCTCACACCCGTGGGCTTGCTGGCTTAAATTTCCGGCAGAAAACCAGGTATACCTAGACCCTCCACAGGTGACAAGAAACTGCCCGCAGTTGAGAAGGCACTTTTTTTCAGTAGGCATGAACCATTTCTGCCCGTAGTATATAAATAGAATCATGCGCATCCGCATCCAACATCTGTCATGCAACCAGAGCAAAGTTCCTTGACAATTGCGGTTATTACAAAACGAGTTCCTCTAATTTATGCTTTGTTTTTCGCAAATTGCCGCTCGATTCCGCAGATTTCTGCCCGTGAATTTTCAGACTATTTCTAAAAACAACCAAAACCATGACCCTGGCAAGCCAAATGGCTCAGATTGAACGGTCAAAAACCAATTTCCGTGGATTAAGCCTAAAAAGACGCCTTTTAATAAAAGGAACATCCAAACAAAATTGGCACCTTTTCGAGGGTCTAGGCATGATGATAATTCAGTACTTCCAGAAAAGCACGCTCATGTTCAATCGTCCTAGACTGGGGTCGGCTGGTTTTTTCGCTTTGGTCAATGAGGGATGGTCCGTTTCCCGGATGGGAGGGGTGACTTTTGCTCAAAGATTACTACCCTGCTTGTACCCTTTACCCTGGTTGTACCAGGGAATCGTGTTGGAAGGACGTCAATGAACACGACTGGGACGAGGTTCTCTCATGTCGGTGTAGAGTAAGAACGATTGGGTGGCATCCAACACCAAGTTTCTTCCAAAGCAGTTGACGTGGAAAGATCAACCATCTTCAGGGCAACCCATTTGCTTCTTTTATGAACACTAAGTATACGATTGCGCAACCCATGCTTCCTTCGGTGTGAAACAAAACACAGTCGTCCATGAACGATATAAGGATTCTCGGAACATCTCGAGAACCCCAAAACACTGTGTTCTACAGTGGTTTTTGGCTAAAACATCACCAAAGCCTAGGTGTTCAGCTATTTTCAATCAGACTCGGCGGACCATGAGACGTTCTCCCTGACTTCCGGACGCTGTGCCGGCGCCGACCGACATCGCCCCCGACATCGGCGAGGAGCGCCGCCCGGCAGGCTCCTCGGTCCGCGCGGAGCTGAGAATCAGGGTTGAAGAGCCCATGCGGATCATGATCTTGGTTTTGAGGCTTTTTGTGGTGTTTTCTATGATGAAACCCACCGATACTTTTGGATTCTCTCGGCTTACCGTAAGTCGAAGATGAAGCTTGAATCGACCAATCATGGACGCCACAAGCGAGAACAGCCGTGCGAACCTGCATGTTGTTGTTCTGTCCTGTTCATCTGCTCCAGCGTGTGATCGGCCACAGTGCTGAAAGTGTTTGGGGTGGCTTTGGAGGCTTCAAATACCTTCTAGAAGGATGTACTTGGAGCCCAGGGAACAATTTTCCCAGAACACTCTTCACCTCACAACTCTCCAAGACCGGCAGGTGCTCTACGTGAGGAGGTGGTGATCAGCGGCAGCTTCGCCACCGGCAGCGTGCGTTCGAGGCAGCGTCAGCTGGTCGGACGACGGAGGAGAAGAGACCCAGGAAGCGAAGCTGGGACGCACTACAGGAACTATCAGTAGCTATGTACGCGAGTTTTTTTTGGGGGTGGAAACCATGAAACTTTTGGGGGTTGGCAAGTGACTGATGATTTGGTGACTGGTCGAACCTTGTCCGGGTCGGATGGGGTGAGCGAAATCCGACGGCCGATCTCAGCGTTGACACGAGCAGTTGCGATGGAAAATAGTCCCTTGGATTACCATTGTCCTCTACAAACAGGCGGTTTTCCACTTCCCTGATGTTGTCGACCGAGTGCAGAGTTACTTTACCGCAATGTTGCTTTGTCACAAAAGTTCACGGTACAAGTTGAAAGGAACTGGACAATAGTAGACGTACCAGCTACTCTGAGAGGCTACTGGACAATGGAGAGTACCTCAAGAGACGAAATGCCCCGAAAAACACAGCTGGGTCACGATTATAAATGGGCCGGATTCCATACAATGTGTTGTGTGTTGTGATGTGTTGTATATGTTTTTATAATATTTTGTTGTTTTTTTTTCATCAACTCTCAGCTCAGGCATAGTTTCTTGCACCAACTGAGGATGCTTTTCAGCACCAACTGAGCTGCGTTTGAAACCAGTTTTCCGAACCCACCAAGCGCAGTTGGCCCGGGTGAAACAGCCGCAGGCACAAGGTGATGTTATCCCCAAGGCGGCAAGACAGGTGCCGGTGCTTGCGGTGGTTGGCAGAAAGGGTTGGCGGAGGGGGTTGAAGAATTTATTCTGCAAGTGAGAACTTTCAAAACTCGTGTCCTTTTGGTTGATTGAGGCACCCACCAAGGATGTTGAGAAATGTTTCATGTATCCCAAGTGCAGGCAAATGTCCGACATGTAAATCTATTTTAATATGATCATGCACGTCGCAGTGTGCAACCTTTTGTTACCTTTGTTTCACCCTTTTGTTGTCCTGCCAAAAGCAGGGAAAGAAGACGACACGAACCGAGACAGTCCTCGGTTTCCCGGTGTCCTCCGGTGCGGTGCTTCGTTCCCTCTGGAGGTCGGTCGTCGGTTCTACACGTTTGGTTTGTTAGTAGGTTAATGAGCTCCTAATAGCGATGCCCTTGTGACGTCGGTTCGATGCCCTTTGCTACGTTCGTAGCTTCTATTAGCTTCTTGTTGCTAGTAATGCACCCAAAACCCTTTTCGAGATCTGGCAAAGCCCCATCTACGGTCCGTGGGCCTAGTAACTACCTAGTACTGTTGGAGCCTGGAGTGGACGGGGATCCGAAGCTTCATGAAGCCCATAGCAGTAGAGGGTTGGACATCAAAGACTATTTGGTGTTCTCAGGAACACATGTCGTTAAACAGTTACTGACTTGCTGATCCTTAGAAACATGTTAGTCAGACCACCCTAATGTCAGTCAATCTTCCAGTCCCAAACAATCCATGTCAAAGTCATATCCATGTTCCATGTCAGTCAATATTCCAACCCATGTCCGGAACTATGCCCAAGTCATGGATGTTACGGTTCTTCTCCTGAGAAATGATCCACGTCCACATCCCATCCACGTCATCCAAGCCTTGTGGAGGCGCGGACCTCCACGCTGGGAGGCCAGAGATGGGTGTGCTGAGTGTAACAGCGTGTATAGTCTTTTGATGTGGATATGGATATGCTATGACTAGTAATATAAGCTTCACACATTTACATTTGGTTGGTTTTTCAGGGAGATCCAGTGCTCCCACGCCGCGCTTTTTCCGCAACTGCTTTGGCTGGTTTGGGCTTGTTTGGGTAAGACGAGGGCTTGTCGCAGTAATGCAGTGACAGAGCCAGAGCTCGACTGGCAGAGACAGATTGGCCCGGCCGTGGACCCACGCTCGAGACTGGTGTCTTCAGCGAAGCCGCGTTCTGCCGTGACACGCGCGCGAGCGAGACACCGTGACCGAAGGCGGACGGTGGCCCGTCCTTCAGTGTTGCATTCAATGCAGGACATGAGGACCCTCATGGCATGCTCTTCTTATCTCTTCAAGAAAATGGTGGCCAGGACAGCTCAAAGCTGAGAGTTGGACCATTTACGGCTCACTCGCGATGCATTAGCACATGTCTCTTGCCAGTGAATCAATTCAAGAAGCTCTGCAACACATGGGCAACACTTGAACATAGGGTTGAAGTTCCTGATGGCATCCCTGCTATGTGATTGCTACCATAGTTTCCTTGGAAACCTTTTACTGCGCCATTTGTGTGTTGCCTGTGACACTTAGTCACCACAACAGGAGCTGTCGGCGCTTCGCCCCTGCGCATCCAACAAAAACGGATATAGAAAGCACAGAAGTGCCGCACAACATAGGTGTGGTTACCCTGTGCAGTTCATTTGTGTGTGTGTGTGAGTCAAAAGCATTCAGGGTGACGACACACGCAACGTAGACTGGTCTAGTCGTCTAGTTGTTCCTTGTTGTGATTGTCAGGAAGATGAAGTTCATGGAAGATTGCCGGTGGTTTTTGGGCAGGAATGAGGGTGTGGGTCTGACCGGGTTCACCACGGTGTTCCGGTGTTCATTTGACCCCCGATCGAGCGCTTTCAGCAACTCGGTGAAGTCACAGTAAATCCAGCGTGTCGATCATAGTGTTCGGACTGTTTGGGTATGCAGAGATCTATCATGGGTTGGACGTGGACCTGGATGGTCAAGCTTTTGGTCCAGTCGTGCCATGAGTCGTCTTCTTGTCGCTCCAGGCCGCCACGGTGGGTTCAGGCGCGCGACCCCCGAACGGCGGTCACCCGACCCGGGACGGTTTGGGGATGTCTACCGGATCAGGGGCAGGATGTCTCCCTATACCAGGACCCTCCTGTCGGGGTGTCTATTTATAGCCCCTTAGCCTTTGGCTGTTAAGGGGTGTCCATTAACCACCCCTTGGGGGTCCTGGCATATGTATATATACCTTACCATTCTAAAACCTTTAAAAATAAAGGGTGCTCAGCAAAACCCGAGGTTTTGAAGGAAAACCCGATGTTTGCTCATTTGAGATGAAGTGACGTTGATCAGAAGCACGGTCTGCCGCAAGATTTTTTTGCTCTGGTGGGCCACTGTTCTCGCGACAGACGAAGCACGGGCCTGAGCTAAGGCAAGATCACAACAACGTGTTTCAGTCTATTGATACTGCTGAAGCTTTCAGAAAAGGGGTTCACCACTGGGTTCACCTTAACTCGAGGGCCGCAATATATATCCGGCCTTCTCAAATTCATGGTAGACCGACATTAAATACCGCTCCATAGTGCGCTGGAGCGCCGGCCTCATAGCCGTGACTCTCCTAGAGAGACGCGCGCCGCGTCCTATGAAATCCTCATCTTGTTGGACACTGAGAGTGAGTGGGTTCAAGGACGGAAGGTTCTTTTGCGATGATTGCCAAAGTGACACCATCACGTGATGGACTGCATGATGTTTCGGCTGTAGAACAAACAACAGCCGCCCCGACCTTTTGCTCATATCTGCAAGGCTCAAGTAGCGGCGTAAAAACCGCATGCCTTCATTTGCGATTCTCTCAGCCTTCGCAGGTGTGAGAAAGATCACTTCGTGATACATCTGCCGGATGCAGTTTTGAATTGCACCGGTCGCCTCACTCACAGCCCGCAGGAAGGGGTCATCGCTGAAGTCGCTGGCGGAACACTCTGCTTCCAGCCAAGCCATCAAACTGGTAGTGAGCTGGCCTTTATGCCAGATGCCTGTAGGAAAGACGTTGGTGGACGGCCAGCCCACCAGGTCCTTACTCAGCTTCACAACCTGACGGCGCTGACCATTTGCACGGCACCATGAATGATATCGCTCAGTAAGGCTGGCAAAGCGTTCATCGATTGAACTCCCGTTTTCCCTTTCGCTCAGCAGTGCTATCGAGCTGGCCAGGAAGCACTTGCCTACACCCAGGTGCCAGCAATGAAACCAATCCCATGCCCACATCATCTCGAGACGATTTGCAACATGGGGCACTGAAGCTAAAGCTGATGGACCATCGAACGGAGACTGCGTTGCGACTGTTGCAATCCAATCTGGCCTTCGGGTGCCGATTTGCTCCCAAGCCCATGGAGCCACACCAGCCAAGCACTGGTGACACACTCCACCAGGTGGATTCCTGGTAGTCTTCTTTTTCTGCACGCTCATGAACGACCGTTGAAATGGCCCAGATTTTTTGAGGAACGGCCAATCGCCGATCACGTTCAGGAGGACAGCGTTGTACTTCTGGCCGCTCGCATCCATCACTCCAACGTTGCACATGTAACAAGCCTCCTCAGCAGCTTTTTGAAGCACAAGGTCGAAGTTCCCCTCAGTGTCCTTTGTGGCGTAGTCACTCTTCCTCATTGCCGAGAACAGGTACCGTGAGGTGAAGCTATGCCCCCGAAAGTTTGGCTTCAGCTTCAACCACTTTCGTTTTATCCCAAGCTTCTTGCCCACTCTAGCTTCCGGGTGCAGGCCCCGCCCCAGAAGGGACCTAAATGACAATATCATGAAGGCCTCTCTACGACGCCCACGGCCTTCATCACCATGCAAGCAAAGTGGAGCAGTTCTCCGAAACGATAGTCGTCCTTGGGACTCCAACTCGTAAATCGGATGATCAGGCTCTATTTGGCGGAAGGTCCTCCAAAATGCTTCCAAAATGTCCCCTTCACGTGTAGTGTCCCGCCGCACCAATCCCGTAAGAATATGCCAGCGTGAGTTTCGCACCAGATATTCAACCCAGTGGCGCAGCTTCAACAAAGGAATCTCTTGCCCACTCTCGGTCTTCAGGTAGGAAAAGGGAATTGGCACTGACAATGAGTATTTCTTCGCAAACACACGTTGACAATCGCGCTCGGAATTGGTAATCCCACAGCCCGCGAGATCTGTCAGTCCACTCGAAGCGCTAGCTGCTTCTTGGCCTATGTCCGCGACCACATCGCGGGCCGCCTCAATGGCTGAGACGCAGGAAGCCTCGGCCGGCAAGCTAAAGGAAAGGAGCACAACCCAGGAGTTTCTCAACCCAGGGTAGAAGAAGTGATGCAAACACAAAATCCGTATGGTGATACGATGTATATGTCCATGCTGCGATGTCCACTGCAGCATTGTAAAGAGGAAAAATTCACTTGGATTGGGTCCTGAAAAAAGGCCCCCGCAAGTCCTATACCAATAGCAAAAAAACTATATTTTGGAGGGGCCAAACAGACTTGCGGGTGTCTTTTTTCATGACCCAATCCAAGTGGGAAATTGCCAGTGGCAGCGCACTAAGTTTTGAAAGGATGTGCTTTGTGAATATTGGTGAGGTGATGGCCCTTGCCATGGTGGGCAACCGAGGGTGCTTCTAGCGATGCTGGCGCAGGCCAGCCTGATTGACTTAAGCCACCTCAAACACATCATTCTCTACAGAAACTGTTAGAGAAAACAGGACACTGACGGCGTTGCCATGTTTAGAATCGAACAAGGGATTCCAAACGATTGGTCTCTCTCTCTCTCTGTGTTTTGGGGGTCCCTCAACAAGAGTTCAAGTCTTGCTCACCAAGATGGCTCAGTCCACCCCACCCCAAAACTATGTTTCAGGTAACTGGTGGCAAGGCCTCAAGGTTGTTGTTTTTGTTGTTGTTGTTGTTGGGAGAGGCTGCAGAAGCCGATGAGGCCCGGGCTCCTTGACCAACTCTCTTCGCAAAGCCACGAAGAGCTCGGCCTGGTCGGGGACCTGGCCGTATAGCGCCGAGAGAGCGAGTAGAGAGCGGGCACAAATCAAAGACGGGTCAAACGGTTTTTTTGTTCCCCTCATGGCTTCAAAGATGGTTCCAGCAGTGCAAGTCGAGCGATTGCCTGCGTGATTGCGGCTAGTACCACAATCAAAAACCCCTTTCAAGAACGCTGCAAAGTTCATATGCCCTGCAAAAACAAATCAAACATAGAAGCAAACCTTTGAAAGAAGACACTTACAACATCTTAAAACACATCTGTCTTACTTAGACTTCTCTTTGGGCAACGTCAGAGCTGTGAGTGCCTGGACTACAGCTCGCAGCAAAAACAACCATACCTACAACGGTTCAAAAGACTTATGCTTTTCGAGCTTTCTTCGGCTGTGCTTCCCCAGTCTTCGGGGTCTTTTCCGTCTTCTTCGAAGATGGTGCAGCCTTTTGTTCCCGATCCTTCGACTTGTTGGAACGTTTTCCACCCTCAGATCCCTCACACTTCTTGGTGAAGAACTTCTTGGAGGTCCTAGTGCACAAAGGCTGTAGCCATGCAACAGCAAACGAGACTAGTCATATTACGAGTAGGCCCGTGCATCAGCATTCATAAGGTATAACAATTTGGCTCCATACTTGGGATTTTTATTTTGTATATGCATCATGGCTCTTGACCCTATGCACCAAAGTAAGAGTGAAAGGGGTGAGTGCATCTTGCTGATCAAAACACGGTCCTTGCTTTCAGCTCGGTGCCTGCTGCCCGGGTGCACCTTGACAGTTTTGCGGGGAAGCTTCAACAACAGGCTATGGTAAAACCCATGAAGGTGAGGCAGGAACGTCATGGTACCTTCTCTCATCCGCTTTTCCGCCATCTCATAGAACCTCAAGGTTGCGTTGGCGATTGTTAAGACCACCTGTTTGGGTTTGAGCGCTCCGCAATTAAGTTATGTTTCTTTTAACCCAGAAGCTTTTCTGTAAAGAAGCCTTCGGTCTCCCCCTTGACCCAGACTTCATTGCACAGATCGAACTCTTTGTCGACGCTCTCCACGGCCTTCCTCAGGGAACTGATGCACCTGATGGCCGACGCGGCGGTAGAGGAGAACCTGGATTTCGCGTTTCTTGCACACAGACTGCACCTTGAGAACCTTGGCTCTGATTTTAAATTTAGGAGAGGGACTCCTTGGCTTCGTCAGTGTTGAACTTCGTTTGGAGTTCCCGGATCAAAGAACGCAACTTGCCGCTCTTCACCATGATGCTGTCTTTGAATTTTCTCAAAGCTTCTTTGGTCTAGCAAAGGGCACGGAGTCAAAAAAACTGAACATAGCAACGATAAGTTCACATGTTTCCTACCAAGCCCCTACCTGGGCATGCTTGGATTGTTGTGCTGGCTGTGTCTTATCAGAAGACCGCTCCGCTCCGGCGCGGTTCATCATGTCAGTCAGACCCTGGAACTTCTCCCCGCCCATGTTGAATTCGGGCTTCTCTGAAGCCTGCATGGAAAGGCGCGTGAAAAAGAACTAACTTGAGACCCAGTGGCAGAGCAAAGCCCGACAAAACAATGGATTGGTTCCAAACCCACGGTGCAGGAGGTAATAAGTGTGGCCTTGGAAACCTCCTCATGAGTTTCCTCGTAGCTTTGATGCTCTTGTCTCACACCGGTCTCGCGAATAACAATCCAGAACTCTTCCTCCCCATCATATTGGTTCTTCCTGAGCTGGGATCGGTCAAGGCCAACAAACATGGTTTGAAACGTGACTCTTTTGTTAGAGTAGTATACATGCAGTTCGGAGCACCGGCAGTGAGATGCGCCGAGCTGGCGACAGCGGGCGACGGCGCCGTCAACTCTGGTCCTGATGGAATATTTGGGTCGTGCTGAACCGAAACAATCTCCAACCGTGTGCCGTGAACATGAATTAACTAAGTCCATCACTGAGACCACTTCAGGTCATTGAGCATCTCTTTCACTGAATACCAGCCCTCATTGACAGTCAACTCTACGATCTGCTTTTTCTTGATTGCAATAGTCAGCCGGGCTTGGAACTCTTCCTGACGTTGCACCGTGTACACCCCAGACTCCAGATTAACCATACATAAAACCATGCACAACTCTTGTGTGGAATGTTTCTGCGTGCAAGGTTCGCGGTTGAAGTTGCAATGCACATACAAATCCGCAATAGCGTTCTTGTCCCCCTTTGCCCACTCGGCCTTTACCCAGTCCGGTGCCTCCATGTTAGCACGCTTGGACTTCGGTTTGACCCACCTCATGAGTCGTGCTTTGCTGGCCAAACGGAGCTGGACCTGCAGCCGTGTATACGGTGTATGATGGTGTATGCATGACAGTTACACTGTGCACATGTGGTTTAGAAAAGACATCGCATCAAGCAAGGTATAACCATGCACATGCATATCTCGTCTCAGGACATGAGACAGCGCTGCCTTGCGTGATGCTCCAGCTGCAGGAGTGCCAGGCGGGCTGGTGGTCGGTGCTTCGGCCGGTGTTGGCGGTGGTGTCTCAACAGAACCGGGCGCAGAAGTCAGGCTAGGTTTCTTTGAGGGAGACTCTGGGGTTTCCAAGTCTACAATAGATGGCCGTTCGGCTGCGTCCACAAGCGCGGCTCCTGCAACATCTTTCATCTCTGAAGACTCACACCCGGGTGCAGTTGCCAGTGGAACAGTGCCAGCATCCTTAAAGGCTTTCGACACAAGTGTGAGAGTCCAAGGGCGAATGGTGACCCTTGCCTAAAATGCAACTGAAATGCACGATCTTTGAAAAGAGCAAACATTTCTTTGATCTCATCTTCTGAAGCCTCAGGCAACTATTACGACTGTACCAAAAAACAAAAAAGACTGCGGCACGGTTCGATATCCAAGCGCTTGGCAGGCACAGTCTCTTGAGACTCAGCCTTCGGGTCTGTGTGGTTCTCGGCCTGAATGCGGCGCGCGCGGACTTGGACGGGTTTTCACAAGTGTCCTGGACGCATGTTTTTGTGTTAAAAAAATGGGTGTCCAGGCCACTTCTCAACAAGACACACACGGAGTGTTTTGCAATTAGCTCACGATGGGACAACTCTAACAAAGCTGTCGCTGCAGTTCATCGTGAGAAGCCGCCTCCAAACACGTGAGTTGGTTCTGGAGTTCCTGGAGTGAGACGGGCATCTTGAAACATCAACGCCCGGGGGCTTCCAAAAGCGTGTGTGTGGTGTGACTCGTCCTGCAGTTCCATTTGTAGTTGATGCTCGTCGTCCAGTGTCTCAACATGCTTGACTCCATCCGCCAAAGTTCCACAACTCCACCGGTTGGAAGGTGACATCTCTACAAGTAGACTCAAGCTACAGCCTTCACTTGTCAAAAAGTTGCTGCAACATGCGCATGAAAAAAACACTTCAGGTGTTCAAAGCTCATGATTGCAGAAAACATGTCCAAAGATACCGCGTCGCTCGCTCAATGTTGAGTCTTCCCAGCGCAACGGTTGTCGGCATCTTGCTCGGAGCCAAGCAAGAGCACTAATTGTTATGCAAAAAGTGCTTCCGGGGGGTGGTCCAAACCCATACTTTTTTTAATGGGTTAGTATGGGTAAATAATGGGTTCGGTACGGGTTTAGTACGGGTTTGGAAAACCCGGGGTTTTCACACAAACCCGGGGTTTTGGTTCGCAAATAATGGGTTAGTATGGGTAAATAATGGGTTCAGTATGGGTTTAGTACGGGTTTGATCTAGACCCTTTCTTTTTTTTGTCAAACCGATCAAAATCTAAGAGCAACCGGTAAATCGGCCGAATGTTAGGCATCGGTGTCGGATATGAAGAACAAAGGGACCACCAATAGCTATTCTTCACAGCCCCCCGGGAATCACTGGCCTCCACTCTTCAGGGATCTTTAGGCGAGTGCCGCCCCTCAAGTATCCAAACAGTTGGGTGAAGTCTACATATTCCCAGAGCTCGCTTTCATGCCAGCCCGCCGACTGAAACGTCTCCAAAGCAGGTGGAAAAACACCTGAATCGGGGCACTCAGGTTGGCCTTTCGCTTTGGCCTTGTGCTCCTCCACAAGGTCAGCCACTAGCCGAGCAAATGGGACTGGATACACCCTCGGCAGACGGACAGGTCATCCACAATAGGAAGGGTGGTTTGAGTGAGCGTGTTTAAATTGAAGGCCAGAAATGGAGCCGCCCTGTGGAATCTAGAGATACCCTTGAGCAGACTATGACGAGCTGAAGAAACACCAAATGCTAGCCTAGAAACTCTGTCCCACGTAGGTTTCGATTCCCCTTGTATCGAACGGCTCCTGTTGAATCACGATAACGGTCAACTGTCGTCTTCTTGCAGCGGGGATCGCCTTTCCAGCCCTCCAACCTGCCCTTGTCAAATCGTAGAATCTCTTCACTGTTCCCGTAAGCGTAGTGGCGCTTTGGAGTAGCAGAGGAATAGTGCGCCATCCACCACTGGACCATTGAGACCTCATATTATATGTTACGTTAACTGTTTGTGATCACCAATGATGGGAAGCAAAGGGGTCACAAACAATGAACATATCACAGAACAACATCATGATCCTGAAAACACATGTTTTGGCCGCGCCCTTTTCAACCAAGTTTTGAAAGTCATGCTGGTGAAAAAAGGTCGCGCCCAAAAAATGTGTCCTGAGTTCGATCGGCCTTTCTTGGTTTATATCAAGACAGGTGTTGTTCTTTCAATTTCCTCACCTCCCTGAAATCTAGGACTCCGACCGCGTGTGCGCCTCCGCAATTGAAAATGCTCTCCAGCATTTCCCTGAACACTGGATAAAATTCTAGTAGCGATCCGGATGGCTGCTCTAGGCTCCAAGCACCACCCAACGCAGTCGCAAGGAGTATCAAACAACATGTCCTCCAGGGCAGGAGAAACCTATCATTATACTTCAATATGTTCATACATTGTTTATTCACAGCCCGTATCCTTTCAAGGAGCATGTTTCCCACCCGCACGCTTTGGTAGCCACCAAAACCGCTCGAGGAACATGCTGAGCGCTGGCTCGTACCTCTATTCATCTTGGAGAAGGAGGAGCACTTTATCCCGAAGTGGGTTGCAAATCCACCAGGCCCAGGTACTGTTCGAAGCAAACATAAGATAGCAAGCCTCAGCCCCATACAAAATCTATCAGGGTTGCAGGTCCCTTATAGCTTTCAGCACAAAAGGAACATGTTTGAACAAAGCAGCGCAAAGCCAGATCCGTGGGTCATATCCATAAAGTTGGAATTCCGGTGAGGTGGCTGAATGTTGTCCAACAAATCCAATCTGGTTGACCGATAGTCGGCTGCCATCATAACTTTTGTGAGGTTTCCTTCACCGGCAAAATACTCGATCCATGAATACACCTGCAAAAGAATGGGGTGACAAAGAGATAAACACACGATCTCCTTACAGCAGGACTTGCCGGCCGGCCTGTGGAACGTCAAAGCTCCACACCAAGAGCAGAACGCAGAGCACGAAGGCCTGCCAGTTTTAGAGTTGATAACCAGAGGAACCGCAAATCGTATTCACAGGTCTCTGGCCTTTGGTGCACGAAGCACTTTTAGGCGGTAAACCAGGGCGTCCAAGTCCAACATGCTCCAAAGGTTTGGGCGTTGCAGGATGAACTGATGTCAAATTTGTGATGTTTTGCTCCGAAGGTTTACCCCAGTTCTTTTGGACATCATACGGCGACGGGAAGTATGGAAATACCAAATTGTCCAGCGCACATGCAGAAGACCCTAGAGAAGCTGAATCTGACACTTTGAATGCTTGTAAGCTGGCAGGGAGTACGCTTCAGCGATAGCTGCTGTGCCCGGATTTGCCACAGGTTCTTGCGGCGGATCCCACCTTTGCCCATTCGCCATCGCCTTGGCAGGACAGGAATCAAAGAGTGCAAGTTGGTGTGAGAGGTTGATAGGGCTTGGGTAAGAAGAGAGAAAGTGCAGTCTAAAACGCAAACCAACTCCAACGCGCGCATGTCGGAAAGAACGTTCAGCAATAGCCTTTTAAACCTGGCATGTGCAGCTGCTCCTTGAGCATTTCTTGCACACGGCTGCTTCCGCAAATCGATGTGCCATGAACAGTTTGCTTGGAAACCATCACAATAATAACCACTGAGATGTTCAACAGTTTTGAGAAGATGGTTGAGCGCCGTTGTGCGGGGATCATGAGGCCACCACGACTCCAAGGCTAACGTTGTACATTGTGTGCAAACAATGCATTTACATATTTGGTTATTTGGAAGTGACCTTGATTCACCAGATTCATCGCAAATTGCCATTAACGGCTTTTCTGTGCTAAGCCAGCGGTTGCGTGCACCCCCAAGCCAAGTTGTTTGCAACTTGGCAACCCTCAGCACGCAACTGGCAAACAGTGAAGCGCATGGCAAAAGATAACGGTAAGGAAATCATGTTGATTTCTCTTGTTCTTTCGAGAACTCGAGGGCAGCATCTTTACAGGCCCCCTTCACACGCGCAATTACATCCTGCAGCTCCTCATAGTCCCGGAGGTTCTTGCGCTTGCCAGATTTAGCCACAATTGAATCTGCATGAGCGGCCTGAGCTAATGTAACCGACCAACTTGAATATCCAACTCCCCCGATGAACATTTTTGAGATTTCAACTCTGTCGCAACCCAAGGGGCGGTAATCATAGCTGCGGAAAAGGATGCAGCCATTTTGATCATCAAAGGCAGCTCTTTCACCGGACAAGAGAAATGAGCGAAGTCCTTCCCTTCTTTCAAGCAATGCAGGCCACAGGTTTCACGTGTCCAGTAAACATTGCCAAACTTGCATGTTTTGTGCTGCCAATCTGATATTTGCGATTGGAGTTCGGCTTTTTGATCACACTCATCGACACCGACAAAGTTTCGCAAGACAGCCAAAATCTCCTTCATGAACTTCGGTTGTTGTGTCGCGTCGGGGCTTGCTTGCTCTGGCTGCTCCTTGTCTGTCTTGCCTTTTGCTTTTGCTGCCTTGCTTTTTGCTGCTGTAGTACGTGCTTGCTTTGCTGTTGTTGTTGGCTGTGCTTCTTTGCTGCGACGTTGCCTTTTACTCGCACTTGCACCTGGTGGGTCGGTTTCCTCCACTGCTTGTTTCATGCGCTGCCTCTTCAACCTTGGATTGGCCTCTTCACTCATAGCCTGCAACTCATCCCTAGCCATTTGTGCATCCCAATACGCGACGCTATCCCACAACCACCTGGAAGACTCTGGGCACCAGTAGTAACCATCCCACTCAACATCATCGCTCCCCCAAGGCACCCAAGCTTCCCAATCATCCCACTCGTCGCCGGCAGGTTTGGCCTGCTTAGCCTTTGCCCCAACAGCCTCGTTTGAGCGCTTACGCTTAGCAGAGCCAGCCCTTGCACTCTCCTGGTTGTTGTCCTTGCCCCTTCCTCGACCTTTGCCCCTTCCTCGACCTTTGCCCCTTCCTCGACCTTTGCCCTTCCCTTTTGTTTCTGGTTTCATATCAAGTTGATCCTGCCTGCTGACAAGCGGTCCGGGAGGTCTCTCCTGCCATGTGAGTGGCCCGATCAGTAAGCTGCTCAAAACTTACGACGCAATATGCAAAAGAAACATTCCCGCCTCCTCGTCACTCTCCGTGAATGGTTCCGCATCTTTTGGATCTTCCGGACGTTCCGAGGTCGCCCCAAGAACTGCAGTTTCTGAGCCTAACTCACCAGCACCCTGGTAAGCCGCACGACGTTCCTCTGCAGTCTTGGCCGGAGACGATGTTGGTGGTAGACTGTCCGGAAGCTCAACTGCCGCAGGTTCATACGGAAGTGTGTCATCACTTGACTGGCCTCCAACAAGGAAAACAACAAACAGAAAACCACATTATGTACACGCATGCCAACCAATATGCAACATTTCGCAAGCCTGCAACTGCAGAAGCAGAGATGTGGGGCGCAGGGCTTGCCAGCGACGGAGTATCCGGAGATTTTTTGTTCTGGAACTTTGGGGTGGGCTGCAGCAGACTTCTGCTCCAAGGCCTTCTGGGCATCGGCGTGAATCTTCTCTCTCAACCTCAGATACCAAAGGCTATCAGAGAACGCCATAGGCTCAAAGGGTGACAAGTAAGTTGAATCAGCGTTGTGAAACATTGTTATCACGCAATGCGATCCCAATGGCTTCTTCAATTTTTCTTCTACTTCAGCTTTGCGCTTCAGCAAATCAGATTTAATACCTGAGCAACCGGATAACTCATAAGCGACATTTCTCTCACACTTGAGATCTGAAGGAAGCAACAAGAAACATAAGCAATAAGTCTGGCTGCTCGTTTCATTCTTCGCGACTGGATCAGGAGGTGGAGGCAACGGTGCAGGTTCCGCCGGTCGTGTGTCCACCCCATCGCCCGGAACAGTTTCTGTGGCTATAGGTACAGGTTCAACGGGTTCCTTTGCTGCCGTCTCACCGCCCCCCTCTTCAACGGGTTCCTTTTCCGCCTCATCGCCCCCCTCTTCAACGGGTTCCTTTTCCGCCTCATCGCACCCCTTTTCAACGGGTTCCTTTTCCGCCTCATCGCCCCCCTTTTCACTGCCCCCCTCTGACTCTTCACCCTCCTCATCCCAGTCGTCCTCGTCATCGACCGCTTCACCCGTCTCCTGCGTGATGTGTGAAGCTAGAGGCTAGTTGAATTGATCCAAAGAGCCGAAACAAACAGCTTTCCATCAAAACATCTCATATTTTGTTCAAAAGCCGATGCGCCACAAAAACCTGTCCTTTGCAGCCTTGCGAGCCTTCAATCTGGCATTGATGGCATCCACAACCTCCTCCGTGCAAAGGGCTGTGATTTGAGAAGAAAGCCAGTTGTTAGACACTAAGAGGTTGCGCATTGTAGCCAAGCTTTTGATCAGTCGAGTTAGATTATCCCAGTGTTCTAGCCTGAAGCGAAGGGTCCAGCTCAAGGCACATATCTTGGAAGTCCGGCACCTCAAGTGCAGAATGGAAATTTGAAGCAACCGTCCTCCCCAAAAATGAAACCAGTTTTGTTCCAAACCAGTCCAAACAAGGCGCCGTAGAAACCTCGTGGCGGCGGGTCTTCATTTTGATGAAGCCCAAGAGCTTCCTAATCCTCCAGGACAAACGAATGATCTCAGCTTCATCGTCCTTGGTGGCAGGCCTTTTGCACGTCAAAAAAAACTCCTGGATTTCCACGCGCAAACTGGCCACATCTGGCATAGGACGTGTGCGCAGCAAACTCATCCGTGCCAAGAATGGCCACAAGACACACTTCTCGTCAAGGCAGGATGGGATGTCTTCAACCACTTTTTCTGACATCAAAAGCCCGTCCTTCCTCATGCGATCCCTAACTTCTTCACAAGAATCCCACTCGCTGCCGACACCTGTTATGTCTAGCATTTCTTTGGGCTGAACCGGCCTTCCCTTTGGCTTTGGTTTCGCTTCAGAAGACGACATGGCTCTTGGATGCTCTATAGCCCCGAGAGAGTTCTCTCTCAAAAAATTTGAACCAAAATGGTGCTAGAAAACTCATCAACTTCAATAAACTGCTTGGCAACCACACACATATATGCCACATGGATATTGTATGCAGCTTCTTCGAGGGTTGCTACTTTTCACGTCAGTCTACTCACGGATCTTGCAGGACTCGAGTGGCGACCAAGCTCCCGGCTCTGCTGAAAAAAGGATCGCGCCAGCGGGCAGCTCCGAGGAGAGTGTGAGTGCCCAAGTTTCCAAGCATCGTGTGACGATGGTATCATGTTTGGTTGAAGTCTCCAGCTTGAGGGATGAACATGTCTTCGGGGGAAGTTCCGACATTGGCTAGTGTTTCCTTGAAATGTTGAAATCCAAGATGAAAGACCTAATCTCCTCGATGTCCTGCGCTCACATGTGACACGAGCCATGACGCACCTGACGAAGGGTTGAAATGTTTATCCACTGCAACCTCCAAACAAACTGAACCCTCCTGGAATACCAAAAGAAAGGGTGTACAGGAAAACCCGGGGTTTTCGATGAAAACCCGATGTTTGCATGGTGCCATCACCAAGACCCGAGGTATCGGATCAGACCCGTTCTTTTTATAGGGTTTGGAAGCGGAGGGTATATAGTATAATACGCGCCCAAATGAGTGTGTCTTGTAAAAATAGATTTACACACTCCCTGCAACTCACATGGAACTGGAAAACCCGCCTTGTTTGGTATTTGGAACATGGCCATCCGTTTTTGGGGGGCCATGCCATCCACTTTCCATGTGATTTCCAGGGAGTTTTTATGACGAATCCCAATGACTCATATATTGCTGAGGTCGCGTCATACCATGTGAAAGAATGTGAGTTGTGTGGGTGCGCACTCACAGCCAGTGGGTCTTATTGGCATGGTGCACAGCATTACTCGGGGTAGGGTGGATTGTGGAAAAGTGTATCTAGAGCCAACAATGCCAGCGCAAGCTTTCCGTAAGAAAGTCCTCGGGATCATAGAGTCAGGCAAAACGAGCATGGGTCGGTGCAAACCCTGGTTTTAACGGATCGGATACTATGTTCCCTAATTATATGGGTTTCCTCCCCTGGGCCACTGGGGAGAGGGGAAGGTGGTTCTTATTTCCCGCCACAGAGACCCAGTGGACCTCGCTGGTTCGATCAGAAGACCACGCAGGTTACATGGCTGACGCGCCAAGCCCGGGGGAAGACCCCACTGATGCTCAGATGAAGGGGCATGAAAGCGGCTGCTGGGCAGGGGGTGAAGATGGGCCATGAAGCAGTTTCCATAAACTTCACAAATCATAAACCGACATATAAACCAGGCAGTCTACCGATCCAAGAACGTCAATGAGTCAAAGAACCACTTTCTAGTGAAATTCTACCTTGTGATGCTGAAAGAACCAGCTGGTTGACAAAGTCCTTCAAGTTCAAGATCTAATCACATGATCCAGATTCTAAGGGGGGAACCTATCATGATCATGACCGTATCCATGAAGATCCAATTACATATGTCAACCATAGGGAACCCAGACCGGTCAGGCCCTGAGACCGGACATGGATCCCTACCGCCCAAAACCAACGGTGGGTTTCGGAGGGGTTGTGTTCGAGGCCGACCGAGGCCTCCCGAGGCGTGTCGGAACCGTTTTGTGCCCAACGGGTCTGGTGACACGACCTGTCTGGGACTGCCATGACGGACTGCCATGGGACTGCCGATCAGGCCAGGTTGCAAGGGGGTCGATGGGGCGGCAGTCCGACAGTCCCAGACGTGGCAGTCCTATGGGGCATGGTACTACCCCCCTTCACGGAACTCGTGAAGTATAAATCAAACTCCTTTTTGGGGAGACACGTTTTTGGAACTGCGGGCCGTTTTGCCTCAAACCACCCAGAGGGATGGCCTGAAAAACATCAGCCTGGCACATGTGACCTCCCCGTCAATCCCATTCTCCGAGGGACCCAACTTGGCCTTCCGAGGAAAGCTTGGCTCCACCTCCTGCACACACCGTCGACGTGCTAGCAGAGGTGGCGCTGTTGATTTGGATCCCTGTGGATTGATCCAAAAAGAACATATGTTGATCCTCACAATTTCTCAGAATGGAATCTTCTAGAATTCCGCCCGACTCAAGATGGACGCATGGCGATGGGTTCCTCACAAAGGGATGTGCAACTGCCGAGCATATCGCCATTCGAGTGGCCACTCAAGCATATCCAATCAACCACAAGGAAGACAAATTGGTTCTGGCTCACAAAACCCACACGATTTCAATTCAAAGGGGCTTCACAGTTTCATTGAGCTGATCGTGAGGGGTGGAGGACTGAAGGGGATTTGTTTTGTACAGTTTTGTTCCATACAGTGGATTGAGAGTAGATGGCACAATCCCCAAAAGCTCCCCAAGGCCGGTGTCATTTCTTGCTTGGACCCCCAATCAAAGTAATCTTGGGGGCCCTGTGCCATCTTGGGGGCCTCTATAATAGCTTCCTTGTGTGGTTTTGGAACGCGGTGTTGAGGTCTTGGATCAGCCGCACCGAGCCGCACCAGGCTCCCTTTGGGGCACCTGAAGCAGCGATAGAGGTGGGAGATGTGCGATGTGCATGGCGAAGAGCCGTGTTGGAAGAGCAGTGCAGGAGAGACGCACTGGCCAGCACGAGTGTTTCGTTGTTCTTGTTTCCTGAACATGTTGGAAAAGGAGCCGACTGTTGCACTAGAGGCCTCCCGAGTGGGCTTTTTATCGAAGCGAGAAGCACAACCAGCTTACTTGAATTCCGTTGACCTCCTACCAACATCATTTGGAATGGGCACCCAACACCAGCGGTGTCTCATCCACGCGCCTTTGAGGCAAGTGTTGCGGAACCTTTGCCGGCCAAGACGGAGGCTGAAACCTGGATGTGGTGAAGCAACTCGTGCAATCTGAGCACTCGCGATCGATCTGTGACCTTGTAAGCTGATTGTTCAGCTCTTGCAGATGTCTTTCAACTATTTCCCATAGCTGGAGATTGACATATGGGGTCCTTCTTGAAATACGTATACATAATTTCATGATTATACATTCCCGAAAACTAAACATGGACCTGAGAATGGCACCCTGAAAGACTGCCT